TGTTGGGAGTCCGTTGGAAGACAGTAAGATGATCTACTCGCTTAGCCCAGTCTTGTACTATCTGCAACCCAGAGGCCCCTGTACCAATGACCGCGGCTCGCTTGCCCTTCAGCTCAAACCCTTCCTCTGGCCACTCGTAAGAGTGAGCCACTGTCCCTTTGAACAACTCAAGTCCGGGGAAAGAGGGAATGTGTGGCACTGTCCCGGGTCCAGGGCAAGCAATCAAAAATTGACTGGTGAACTGACTGCCGTCTTCAGTAGTTGTGTGCCATCTATCCCCCCTAAACTGACCATGCGTGACACGGGTGTTGAACTGGATGTCTTGTTTCAATCCCAATACTTTGTCAAGGTATGCAAAATATCGTCGCAATTCCGGCTGCGAGGGGAATTTCTCACTCCATTTCCAGTTGTTCCAAATCTCTGGAATTGATAGGGCATAGAATGGAGCTTCCGTGTCTACTCGTGCGCCAGGGTATCGGTTCCAGAACCATGTTCCTCCTAGATCCGATGCTGCTTCTAGCACAAGACATCGGTGGCCCTGTTTCCGGAGATGATAGAGAAGAGTTACCCCGGCAAAACCGGCCCCTACAATGATAATATCATAGTCTGGTGGTCTGTTTGTGATTACGGCCATGTTTGTAGTAGGAGAGAGAAGTTTGAAAAGGCAATGGAGTTATATGGATTGTGATAAATTTATTTTTTAGTCTTCTGACTTCTCCTTCTAGGAATGTTGCTACATATTTATTTTTGACAGGTTACAAGCATTGGCAACTGTTAGCGTTTATGTACGAATTATGGGCTTCGATGTAAGAACTGCATTGTCACCTGCAGACTAGGGAATTGATTCAATCGCCACCCAAGACAAAATGTAGCATTTTACTAGTCGCGCTAAATACATCTCAAAAGGGAAAAGGCAAGCAATGGAATTCGAACGAAGGTTGCAGTAAGTTAATGCACATATATTCAGCAGTATGTATGCAATATGCATCTAACAACCTATCACATGTTACATGTATCATTGTGCTTCTACCCTTTTATCTCATTGCTTCAATGGCTGGTTGGACTTCAGTCCAATCTGGTCGGCAACCTCGGTGTAATTGTGTTGCCACAATCCACCTCCTAGTGTCGGGTACTGAGAGCGCCAGGCACACATTTTTTGTGCCAATGGGGTCATGCTCTCTATAACATCACGAGGAATCATCAGCGGATAGCATTCCTCCGGTGTGAGGTAGCTAGCTTGGAAGCACAGGGAGATACCGCGACGCCAGAAGTCCTCAGTACGGTTTTCACCGCCACCGTGGCAAAGCCTGCCTGTGAAGAAGAACACGTCGCCAGTCTTCATGACTGCGGGAACAGCATCCTCCTCTCGGCCCCAGTCCTCATAGTCCTCCATTAAGTGACTCTTGGGAATACCACGAGTGGCACCGTTCTCAGCGGTAAAATCAGTCAAAGCAGTGAAGAAACTGATCTGGATCTCGTCCATCCGGGGACCTAACTTGGTCAATCCGGGAAACTCGGCTGTGTCGCGATGTAGCTCTTGAGCTTTGCTTTGAGGACCAATTTCGATTACTTGCGCGGTGCACATCCAGTAGTCTCCAGATTCCTTGCGGAAGATTGCCTCGCAAATCTGGTGTAACAGGTCGTAGTTAAGGACTTCCTCGCGGAAGGTTTTGCTGATGGTAGGTAAGTTGCTGAGTCGGCGAGTATTGGAACCGTGGAATTGGGTAATCCATTCTTCCTCCCCGACATCTCGGTGTGTGCCACATTTGATCTTGGCTAACAAAGGGTCTACCTCTTTGTTGATTTTCGCCATCTGCTCCTGTGTGAAAAAGTCCTCCACCACAATCCCGCCATCTTCGCGGAACATCTGGAGGATCTCTTCGACGGGTGCCTTGGCACTAATGCGTCGGAAAGGAGTTGGGAGACTGACAGTCATTCTGAATAGAGAGGGTAGGAAGGTGAAATTGAACGGGGATAGTAATACTGATGCTTTCTGTCAACGAGTAAGAGATCTCTATTTATGTCCGGTCTCAAGAATCATGAGTAAGGATACGTCAGTGACTTCGCTAAGCGTACATATGCATGCCTTTGTGACTGCTCTCACTATAGATGTGATGGCAACTTGAATCAGATTGACTGCTTATCTTGGTGATATGCATGCACCACGTAGTTGTTATCTTTCATTCTGACGCGTCGCATCTGCATGATTTCAATACAATCAATGAATGTAGTGCTTGGTGCAGGAGTGCGACGATTCTATGGTCTTGGGTACCTATGCAGAAGAATCTGATGATCGGTCATGGAACTTTCAATATTTACCTGAAGTCCTTTAATTTCTCCATGGGTCTTATAGTGCACCTGAAATCTGCAGATTCACTTCGTGAGTATAGTAAAACCATCTGTAGTACTGGGTGAACTATAGTGCATTCATCTATAAAATCCTCAACCAGCTAGAAATATAGTGACAGATTATGTATTACATAACCCTGATTGTGTGAACCCCTCACGTACCCAGTATCATTATTATAAGCATATGGAAAGTTTTCAAAAATTGACGGTACTAACGGGATAAAATTAATTCGACAGATTTATTTTCACAAGTACTTTAACCTTTTAGGGTATCTAATTAATTTCGAGGGATTTCCTTGATTTTCAAAGCGTTACGAATGGCTTCCCGATTAAACTAATAATTAAAGTCTAACGAAAGTGTATATATACATTAAAGTATGCAACGAATATTATAGTGCGGAACTAAAGAATTATTATTTCTTCAATAATGTACGTGAGTCAGTGCTTGCTAGATGATTCGTCACCCGTAGTGTGGTTCGGCTAGCTTTCTCCGTCTCCTGCAGTCGGATTCGGCTAGATCTACCCCCTCATTCAGCTCCTCTTCTTTCCGAATCCCCTGTCACCGTCTATCATTAGCTTGCATTTCCCGAAACTCTATAACTTTCAACTTTCGAAACTCTAATGAGTCCCCCCTCCTGTAAGAGGGAAAACGCACTCTTTTTGATATTCGCTGTCACATCAAACATTCAAAATTTCGATTCACAAATGAAATAATCATATCTACAAGCTCTCAAACGTGTTATGAAACTCTCTCTATTGAAATGCAAAATGGTATCGTTGATAAATTATTTAATCTATTAAATGATTAAAGTCTAGTCGGAAGTTGGTCATAAATCCATAAATCTCCTGGTCCCACTATTCCTCCGTCTGCTCTAGTTTTCGATCACTAAAACCTGCGTACCTGGCAGCAGTCTTGATCCTGAATTTCTTCCCGAAGTAGATAAACACAATGTTACCACCGAGTATGACAGTAGTTATGAGTCCAAATGTCACATAGACCCATGTCAATCCAACACTATCAGTCCAGGGCTGAAGAACAAAAATAAACATTGTCAATATGGCGTTGCGGACAAAAGTCACACCCATGATTGAGTCGGCAATGATCTGTAAATTATACTGTGAGTAGTTGCTTGTGTGAGGCTCAAAAGAAGAGGAAAACTCACATCTGTGTATGCATCGGTCAGATATGTAAGTGCAGCGCTGCTAGTTGGAAGAACCCCGAAGCAAGCGATTCCCAGCCCAAATGCTGGTACAAGCCAGTGAGCGCCGTTATTCAAACTAATGCCGAAAATGAAGACACCCGCTGGAACAAAAGGCGCAAAGACGACAGAAATCCAAAGACGCATCTCAGGCTCAAAGACACCGCCATTTCTTTTGGCGAGGTAAAGAGAAACATAATCACTGAGGAAGCCACCGATCAAAGTCCCTAGAGTAGCACCAATGAAAGGTGGAAGTCCCATCAATCCAATTTGGGTAGGATTGAAATCGTATGGGGGAAGTGTCATGTATGACGATAAGGAGGTGACTGGAAGAACAATGCAGGAAATCAAGACTCCGTATTGAAGTGACATGAAAAAGACAGCCGGTATGGTGAAAATGACCAAGAAAGGCTGGTAAGTGTGCTTGAAAAGTTGACTCAGTGGCATCGGTGAATTCGACCACAATGCCAGTTTTTGCCAATAAGACTTTTGAGGAATTGAATAATCAATCACTACCTCTCCAATTTGAGGAGCGACCTTTAGTGCCTCTGGGTCGTTATTTGTGACTGTCTCTTTCGTTTCCGGCTGGCTGGGAATTTGTTCTGTGTCGGTGCTTGAGCGAGTGAACATTGTCTCTTCATAGCAGAAAACAAAAACAACAAGGCCCACTCCAAGCAAGATAGCCAGCCACCACCACACCCAACGCCAGCCTTGATTTGAAGTGATAAATCCACCGGGTAGCGGTGATAAAGTAGCTCCGGTGATCATGAACCAGTAGTAGATAGAATTCACGAGACCACGCTCATGGAAGTAGAACATATCAGCCACTGTCATTTGAACCATCACTTCAGCCAATGCACCGACCGTGCAACTTAACAGATTGACCAACATGAGGTCCGCCACAGTCTGCATCCTGGCGTACCATATACACATTCCACATTGAGCCGCAGTGCTGAAGATATAAACTGGTCGTCGTCCAAACTTCAATGCAAGTGGAACGAGTATAAATCCGCCGATACACAGGGCTCCGTTTCCAGCAGCGAAAGCGTCATTGAGTAAGGCGTAGCTAAAACCAAGCTCGGCATTTACTGGCGCCCAGGTGACCGTTGCGATATCGATTCTGCTTGCTTTAGTACTTCTGCATCATATCTTCATGATGAAAGGCTACCTACAGTGAAAACACCATCAAGGTATAATAGGAAATCAATATAAAATTTAAATTCTTTCTCCATCGTGGCCAGTTCTAAGAGTTTGATGAGATTAGCTACTTAGGTTGCGCAATAGGTTAAGATTCGAACTCACAAGAGGGTCGTTTGGGTCATTACTAGGCCTTGGTTGCAGGATAATATGTGAGCTTCCCTCGAGCGACGTATTGCTTGACCCAGCTTGGGGTACCATGGTAGGAGAAATCTGTTTCGCTTTCATCTTGAAAGGTAGTTGTCCTTGAAGTCAATGTCTACATGTGGGAGGAAGACGGCATATAAAGGCTTTCGAAGTCGCTTAGAGGCAGGCCAATCGGTGAATGTTCAAGGGAGGGTCGGTGAGATGATAAAGGAGCTTATGCAGCATGAGGTGATAATGCAAGATCTAAAGACAGGAGCTTATGCACGATACGATGATAAGGCAATACCCAGAGGTCAAGATGCCAAACAGCGGTCCAATCGCAAGTTACATGACGAGGAAAGCTGTACGTACATCACGGCATGGGACTTAGTAGGAAGTACTCGTGTTGATCAAGAGAAAATTGTTGATACTACCTTCACGTATAAGGCTCACCTGCAGCTTTTGTCTATCAAATTATGGATTGTGTGTAAGTTCAGACCTACGTCTTCTTGATGGAAAACTCTAGAGATTGACTTCAGCGTTCGCATGGAATTTTTAAGGCGAAGGTGACTGACGGAACCGATCAGCAACTTAACGTGTTGTCAAGAAGAGCTGAACAAGGAAAATCCGCAGTGATCGACGAGACGAGGAGTAGGATCCACTTTCGTAACTCTAGAATCTTAATTGACTTTCGGGGAAGGCACAAGGATTTGATGGCAGATATCTCGTAGGTCAATTTACGACAATTTAAACAATGAACGTAAACCGATAGCGTAGGATATTCGAGACAGTGCGTCTAATAATCCGGACTGCGGCACGAACTAGATTCTTAAAGTTAAGCAACCAAGTTTAAGTCATCGATACACTACACAGTCTATCTATGGTGTAAGTCCCCAACAAACCAAATGTATAATTCGACAGTTCAGATAAGTCGAACAAGATAAAGATTCGTATGAAACTGTATAGGCCTTAAGTGATAGATCTTGAACTTTCCAAGTCGAATATAAAGCTATAAGGGTATCGAAGAACTTATGGTATTATACAATAACCCTTATTCAATTCAAAAGTTTTAAATAAATTATGGCTTGTTATTTGGATGGAGTATTGACAGACGAGTATTGACAGACTATTGAATACACTGGGCTGAGATGGATGAAAGTGATGAAATATTCAGCTCCCTTGAAACTAGATGAGCCCCAACTCAAGAAATGAATAATCAATTGAATTACTCTGTACCCTCCAATCACGGATAGAATACATCGTCGCATGAAAAATGCTACATGTTGAAGCAGCCGCAAGAAGGGACTTATCGTGCATCTGTAGCTTGAGATCACCATTGACTTATCCCAGGGACCGGGGCCCTTTCATTGGCCTACAGCAAAGGAATACAGTAAATGCAGATAACCCTAACCCCTGTTACCAAAAGTCATTGACGGGAACCTATAGTAGAAGTTACCATGGCATATTACTTTGCGTAGGCTGAATATCAAGCTTTATCAGATGCTGCTCATCGCATACACACGGGCTAATACGATCACGTATAACACTAAGCATACCGTGTAACTAGGTAGGCTAGCTCGGTCGGAGCTAAACCCGACTCAGATCTAGCTTTTCTCGCTTCCGTTCAAAAGTGAATCAAAAATCTATTTCAAAGTTTCAAGTTTGCGAAATCTGGCAATCACACACCGCTCAGCGTCCTCAGCTTTGATTCAATCGGGTACAGCTCAGAGTGAGTTGGCTGAGATTATACAATATGTGTATGAAGAGATAATCTACGGTTATTGATGAGTGAGGCCAATAAATTTTCTCGGGTTCTCATGACAGCCGTCGGTTGCCACACATATTCGTGGACCAGGCCGCGAAAACAAGGTGAGCTGACATTCCGAAGTTTCATTGTCTTGTTAGAGGTCCGGACTGCAGACTTCTACGAACATCTGTGTGGTGCACGCTAAACCTCTAACCGATCTTTTGGAACTGACAATTATCTCGGAAGCTCGGAAGTCTATTTTAAGTTTAGTTCTAGTAGCGAGAAAATGGTTCATGAAAGCTATCGAACCTCAGGGTTATAAGCTGTTGACCATCTAATGCACAAATCGTCATTATATTTGGCGCAAGAGTCACTTCGCTATATCAAAAAAAAAAAAGAAAGAAGAAGAACAGTGATAATCAATCTAGGGAGGATGAGCTGTCACAGTGCCCCAAGGGTCAAGCTATGCTACGAGCAGAGTCACTCATTGCGTTTGTTGCAACATACCGCTACTTGCGAGATGACGAAACTCTGAAACGAACAGCAGTAAGTTAGCGCAACAAAATTCGTCAAAGTAGTCTGTCAACGATGGTGCGGCTGAAATTCCGATTCGGATTCATGGATTTAAGTGATACTACCAGGTCATTGTCTGGTGGCAACTAAAATATACTAGCTATCCTTTTTGAAGCCAATGAAAGACAACTTCATGATTTCACATGCTGGCATGAAATAAGGGAGGCAAGACTGAAAAAGTGGCATAACTTCATTGAATTGGTATTTTGATATAGTATATCTAGCCCTTTGCGGCACCGGCCTTGATCAATAAGATATCTACGCAGAGTCAGCAATGATTCAAGATGAGAATTGAACCTAGTCTCCTTACCTCCGTCTTCGACAACGTAATCTTTGCCCTTAGTCATAACCTTTCCCTTGGCCTTGATCTCAGCTTCATCTCCATTGAATTCCTTGAGCACGTTAAAGTTATATACGATAGCTTGAATGAAGGTCTTTTCAAAGTCACCGTGGATGACACCTGCAGCTTGTGGTGCTTTGGTACCATTTCTGATAGTCCATTGACGTACTTCATCTGTACCTGTAGTGAAGAAACTTCCGAGGTCCAAAACCTTTCTCATGGCGGTGATAATCTTGGGTAAAGCGGATTCAACACCCAAGGTCTTGAGTTCCTCCTTAGCTTCCTCTTCAGTCGCAAATTGAGTTAATCTCTCCTCAAGGCAGATAGAGATTGGCATGATTGGGTCACCAGCTGCGTGCTCCTTGATCCATTCCATAACCTTTGCCAAATGCTTGTTCTTCTTTCTGATGTAGTCCTTCTCGCTCAAGTTAATCAGGTAAACGACTGGCTTGGCAGTCAAAAGGAACAGAGGGTTGATGCACTCGATCTGCAAAAACGAAGTCAGTATATAGCTTCATGTATCGTATCATTCAATAGTGATAGAATATCCAAGTATCAGAACGGGGTTTTTCTCTCAAAATACACTCTGCATTTAATGCGAGGTACTCGACGAGCTGGGATTATTCAGGCCTCATGGCCCTTTGTCATCATTTAGGGAATTATGGGAATGTAGGAAAAATGCAGCACATACCTCTTTCGGTGACCAGTTACCCTTTCGGACATCCTTTCCATCGTTGAGCATAGCTAAAACCTTTTCGATAGTGGCTTCCTCCTCTCTAAGCTTCTTCATCTCAAGTGATTGACCACCCCTTCTGGTCAACTTCTTCTGAGCTTCGAGTGCCTTCTCAACAAACTCAATATCCTTGATACGAAGCTCATCACTGATAATGGTCAAATCACGGACAGGATCAACGTCTCCCTCAATGTGAATAATCTCGGCATCATCGAAACAACGGACGACTTGAAAGATGGCATCGACAGCACGGATATGCGACAAGAAAGCATTTCCAAGACCTTCACCCTTGGATGCACCTCGAGTCAAACCGGCGATATCGTAAATTGTAAGATGTGCTGGCACCCGGGACTTAGGGTTGTACTTTTCGCAAAGCCAGTCGTATCTGTCATCAGGAACAATAACTCGAGATTCTTCAGGATCGATGGTTGCGAAAGGAAAGTTCTTGATTTTGTCAACGTTGGTACATGTGATCAAGTCGGGGCTCTGAAACTTACTGCGGGGTTACCAAGGGAGCACTTGGTAATAGCTTGAAAGAGTGTTGACTTGCCGACATTTGCAAGGCCGACCTATTTATAAAATCAGTTCATGTCTTAGACAACTAGAATGAAGAGAGAAATACAATTCCACTCTTCAAGTTGTTACCAGGTCTACCCAGTAACGCCTTCTTCTCTTCGACGACTTTCTTTGGAGGCATTCTGCTTTTCTTTTTGGCGTAAGATCTCTTTTGACTTATGAAGAGAACCGTACAATTAAGTAGGCTCTTGTTGTGTTTGTTTATAAAAGCAGAACTTGCTGCTGTGGTGAACAAAGTGGGTTGATAAGAAAGAGAGATACGTTGAAGAGGTAAGAGAGACGTCGTGATGGTGGGATGAATGCAGCCAGCCTTGTGCGGACCGCGAAAATGGGAATTTTGTATGGAGGTGAAGGGACGAATTGAATTACTCGAAAAGTCTTTCGTTTGAAGTTTCTTGTGTGCGCGCGCTGTAAAATTAACCCAATAAATGAGGGGTGAGGATTATCCAGATCATGTGACTGTATCGCTGTATCGGGATCAAATTTCACCGTCAAAATTGGGGCGACTTAGCTAAGCAATTGCTCTGATTGGTCCTTGACTGCAGAGTGGAGCCTCTCCAATCGTTACGCGAACGGACGGCTAGACCTATGATGATATACCTAGTCGATACAAGTGTCACCCCGTCAGTCAGGTAAACCGTCAACTTAATTTCGATAATGAATGCCATAATTTGGAACTGAATCGAGTCTGATTCCTTTTCAAGACAAGGAAGCAAATAGGGGGTGCAGAATCAAGTACAGACATTGATTTCGTTGTACAAAACTAAAGCAATTCATCTTTTGAATATACCATCTCTTGAGTCTTGACTTCTCCAGTTATTCTGTTCATCTTCTTCAACCTGAACAACTATGTCTTCTTCTTCTAGCAAGAAGAGTTCCAGAATTTCTTCCTCAAGTCACAGATCGACACTTTCCCTTCACAAGACTGAAATAGTCATCAATGTTTACGATCTCCTTCCTGTAAGTTTGCATCGAATAACTGCTTGGATTGACAGTTGCTGACACGGATTTCGCGATTAGGCAGGCAAAATTTCTTCAATCCTTTGGAGTTTTGGTACTTCCTTACTTCACAGTGGAATTGTTATAAATGGCAGAGAATACGCATTTGGAGGACACGATAAAAAGGGAAATACGGGGGTGTATTGGCAAACCCCAAGAGTAGAACCACCTGGAGGAACTTTCCGATGCGAGATCGTCCAAGGATTCACATTCGCTCCTCAAGCTGAGATAGATGCCGTCATCAAGGAGGCTTCAGTTATCTTTCAAGGAACATCGTATAATCTCCTTACAAGAAATTGCAACCACTTTACGGCATATATGTGCGAGAGACTTACTGGTCAGTCTGGGCCACCATGGTTAAACAGAGCTGCCAGTATAGGAGTCGCATTACCTTGCATGGTTCCAAGACAATGGATTACACCTCCAGATTACGAAACTGCAGATGGGGAGCTTGTTGATGAATACCATGATGAGCAAGCTCTGTTGAGCAACGCAAGACATAGCATGGATGATGGGCGACCAGATTTAGGCGATGATGAGACGGAATGGAGTTGTGATGAGGACTTTCGGGCCGGGAAAGGAAACGGAAAAGATGTCAGAGATACATCAGGCAGAGTGGTACCCCTTTCAGAGAGGGCACCTACGGCCAGGAGATAAATTGCACTTTAGGTGGAAGGATATATGGGGGTACAGGCTTCTTCAGGCGTTTTCGGCAAAGGACAAGGAAGGATAGGAAGGACCGGCGCCAAGGGTTCATTTTATGATACCACTTTATGATGCCATGATTCTTCTATTGTACAGATTTACACATCGAATCGCAATTATGCACAGCAGTCTTTTTACCACCTTAACTCCCCATTTAACCCAATCTTCTTGGTTTCTTACTTCTCGTACCACCAAACTTCAATCTTGTAGCATCCGTAACTTTGACGACCTTTCCTCTCAACCATCTACCTTCCGTACCCAAAAGAGCCTTAGTGACAGCCTCTCTTCCCGCACCAAATCCTCTCAGAACTAACTCCAACTTGTGGATATCACGACCAATAGCCCTCTCATGGATCTGCGTCATCACCAATGAAGCCAATTGAAAAGCCGAATCATAGTGTTTCCTTCCCGAATGTCTAAATCCAATATTTCCACACGACAATGAAATGATCGGTTCGCGATTTGGTCTTGTGAGTGTGATATGGGTATTATGTCTTGTAGCATAAACGTGAAAGTGATGCGGTTCTTCCTCGATGATTCGTTCCCCAATCAAATTTCCATCCGAAGGCATTGTCGTATCCAGTAAGCCCGGTCGCTTTCGTTCCTGCTTGTTTAGCATCATCATGTCTTTGAAAACGCTTGTAATGCCTAAGTTTCCTCCTGCGGCTGCCGATCGAGTAGCCTTTGGGTTCAGCGAAGAGGATCTGGCAGCTTTAGCTCTAGCTAGGAGACCAGCAGTTCCACCAGTCTTTAGCGTTGAGTGGTTGTGAGGTACATAGTCGGGAAGAGGTTTGTCGTCGCCCTCAGCTTTTTGATTTCGTGTACTAGAAAAAGGTCGCAAACATCGGAGGGGCAATGTTTGAGTGATATTCGCACATTCTGAAATCGAGGCGAAAGACGATTGAGCCAGAACTCGCCGTGGAAGAGTTCGACTCATAATTGATTGAATATCAAAATCTGGGGATTCAATATTGTAGTATTGGTGGCTTTGATATCAAAATCTAGTCGAAAGTTGAATTCGGACTGGGTTGTTCCGCTTCGCTCACTAATCCTTGCAGCCTTGAAATTTTGTCGATCGGAGAAAATGTTCAAATCGCCGCCATTCAATCATAACCTTGCGAAACCAAATTTATTTCAAGTCTTGTATCTTTTGAAGTAGCTTTTTAATAATTTATACTCTCCTTCTCAGTCAATATGAACGGGCTACGAACAGCAGCGACGAGGACGCCCACAAGTAAACAGATTTCTCTGTCTTCAATCGCGAGACCTTCATCCAATGGCTCCACCCTTCGTCGCCAGATCGTTCAACACAGTCGAAATTTACAATTTTCTACAGCGGGATCTTCGAGACCTGCGACTCTTTCATATCCTGCGCCTTTGCGATCACGTTTCCTTCCAGAAGAAATCAGATCTGTAGCATGCCCAGCATCCTCGCGGCATTTCCATGAAAGCTCGAGCTTAGGCAAAGAAAAGAAGGCAAAAGCAGTAGATCCAGCAGACCCAGCAGCAAAGGAAGAAGCTACAGAAGAAGAGCCTAGCAAAAAGGAATCTGCTAAAGACTCAGAATCTACTTCCGGTGAGGATAAGACCAAGGAAGAAGGAGAGGGCAGTGAAGGCAAAAAAGAAGGATCCAAAGAAGCCCCTCCACCCCCACCACCCCACGGAGACAAAACTCCATGGCAAGTCTTCACCGAAACTCTGCAAACCGAATTCAAGGCATCCAAAGAATGGAATGAATCCACGAAGCAGTTAGCAGAAGGTGCCCATCAATTTACGGAGAACGAGAATGTCAAGCGTGCTAGACAAGCTTTCGAAACTACCACTGGAGCAGTAACCTCGACAACAGGCAAAGTTTTAAAGACTACCGCAGGCGCAGTTGGTAAGGGAGCTGCTTGGACTTGGGAAACTCCAGTTGTGAAGGGAGTGAGAACTACTGTTAATGCTACAGCCAATGTGCTTGACAAGGCGACACAACCAATCCGACAAACGGAGGCATATAAGAATGTTAAAAATGTGATTGATGATGGAAGTAGTTCGAGGTATGGAGGATGGGTTGAGAAAGAGGAGAGGCGTAAAGCAAGAGAATTGAGGGAATTGCAAGAGGGTGCCACCGGCAAAACCAAAGAGGTCCCAATCGAAGATCCAAAGTAAGTGAGATGTTCACTACATCAATATTCACATCTAACAATTGTAGCGCCGGAACAAATGTCACCCTACACAAAGATTCGGCATACAAAGAGGCTTGGAGAGATTTCCGCGACTCAAATCGTGTCATGCAATCTTTATTCTCCATGAAAACCGTCTATAACGAATCCGAAAATCCCTTGATCTCAACTGCCCGTAGCATATCTGATCGAGTTGCCGGTTTCTTCGCCGAAAACGAAACTGCCCAAGTCATTAAGAAATTCCGCGAAATGGACCCCTCTTTCCAAATGGAACCTTTCCTCCGCGAAACGCGCGAATACATTCTCCCAGAAGTTCTCGACGCCTACGTGAAAGGCGATACCGAAACCCTCAAACTCTGGCTTTCCGCAGCCCAATTCTCCGTCTACGATGCTCTCTCAAAACAATACACAACTGCCGGTCTCAAATCTGATGGTCGCATTCTCGATATCCGACATGTTGAAGTCCTGTCGGCGAGAATGTTGGATAATGATATTCCAGTCTTCATCATTACTTGCAGAACCCAAGAAGTCCACGTCTATAGAAACGCGAAGACGAATCAATTAGCTGCCGGTATGGAAGATAAGGTACAATTGGTCACCTACGCGATCGGTGTTACAAGAGTAGCGGAAGATGTTAATAATCCAGAGACAAGAGGTTGGAGACTCATCGAGTTGCAAAAGAGCGGAAGAGATTACATATGAGAATCTCCTCTTTATCTCTTTCTTTACTTTCTGTCTCGGCGTCTAGCTCACAAAAGCTTATATCCTCCCTCGTCTATTTCATCACTACCTATCTTGTAGCATACCGCTCCCAGTACTCCTCCATCTTAAAAGCAAGTCTTGCCTTCATATCTATCTATCTGGGTCCTTATTCCAACCCACCACCCATCATATAAGTATAAATTCACAACTCCACCTCTTGTACATCATCTCACGCTATCGCATCATATTACATTACATCACAAAATATCACACCACACAATCACAAACCACCCCAGATCAAAAGGAGTTCCAGGAAGCGAGGGAGGGACTCACATCTTCACCAGTTGACAAGTTTCTTGTCAAAGCGTGTGTATTAATGAATTTAAAACCCTTTTATCTATTTTTTTTTGTTCGCCTCGTCTGAACGAAGCTTCGACGAAGCCTTTTACGCCACTCTTACGATTTTCGATGGATAGGGAAGGAAAGCAGCAGGAAGAAAGGAAGAAAGAAAGAGAAAGGGAGGAAGGGAGGGAGGGAAAGGAGCTTGATAGAAGAAACTTCTCGGAGAAAAAAATCTTCCACATACTGAAGAAGGGAGGAAGCGAGGAATGTTGTTCATATATTGTACAAGTAACGATTGAATCGAATGTATACTGAGCTGAACTGAATTGAATGGCAAATTAAAAGCTAGAGATATTCATTTCTCATACCCTGTTATCTGTGTTTTTCTCCTCAACAACTTAAAATACTGTGAAATTGTCAGATATTCGATACTAATTAATTGATCTGACAGGTAAAACTACAGTGTATATTGACTAACAAGATATAATGAAGCTACCTTTAGAAAATGCTCAAACGCCAGTATGAATACGTTAGTTAAAAGATATGTAAGTATAAATAAGCAATTCCATACCGCAATCCCTTCAAAAGTAAACTCGCTATCCTCATCCCACGTAAAAACCTGGTCCTAAACATCATCAACAAACCTTACACCTCCTTTTCCTTTTCCCTTTCCCTTCCCTTTTCCTAGTGTCTCTCCATCTCCATTCCCATCTGCATTTCCATCTCCACCCTCACTTCCCCTCTGCACCGCACCCCCATCTTTCTCACTCAAACTCCCACTCCCACTTCCCTCCCTAACCCTCTCAGCACCCTCAAACCCACCCATTCCATTTTCACTCCCTTCCACCGCCTCTCCCTTCCAAGCAGCCTCCACAGCTCGACTCCTAATCCTCCACTGTCTTTTCTTCCCCCTCATCAATCCCCCTCCCATGTACATTCTCCTACCTCCACTCAAGAAATTCTCTGCCTGTCCCTGTCCTTGTCCCTGCATATTCCCATCCACACCCACGCCCACAGCCCCATCCCCATGCAAACCCAGCCTCATATTCCTCCCCAACGAAACCGGTGGTCCCCTCTCTCTCTCCGGCATAACCGGAACTCCCACTCCCAATTCCCCCAACCCGGGTCCTATCAACCCCCCCACCATCGCCATCGGCGTCGGGATTCTCTCTCTCCTCTTCCAGCCCTCCCGTCCATCTCTTCCCTCATAACCCATCCCCTCTCTCGCCGGCGCACTAACTCTTCTTTTTTCCTGCGCAAAATTCTTCAAGATACCTTTCCTTTCTCCCGGTCTAGGGGTTCCCATTGCAACTCCATTTCCATCTCCACTTACCAACGAATATCTAATCAGACTATTCGTGCCATTTTCACTTTCTCCATTTCCATTTCCCTCCCTCATAATGACAATTGTGTCCTCCGAATCGGTACCCGCACCATCTAGTACAAGACTAATACTATTACCTCTCGGTTCAATTTTCGAGTGAATCCTTCGGTCTCTCTGGGGATATTGAGCATCTGCTGCTGATTGTGCTGCGGTGGGAATTGTTATATCATCTGTCGCGTCGCTCTGAACACTTTTTGGAATATTTGTGTAATATTCCACAATTTCATCTGTAGCACCATCAAGTCCAGTCGTTTCCGACTCGTTAACATCTGTATTCTTAGTATCCATCTCACTCGTAGCACAATCCCTTGTAGCAGTACCATAACCACTAATATCTATTTTGCACACCATCCAACCAGTTAGATCTCAAGATACGATGATTGGAGAAGAACAGAGGGGAGAACATCAAAGGAAGAGAAACATACCGCCTTCATCAGCAGCAATGACCGTACCAACACTTTGTTTCTTCAATTTTCTTTCCGCCTTTCTTCTAATACTATCTTCCTTCTTTCTCAACGATTCTGCTTTGCGTTCTTCCTTGTCTCTTTTTTTCTGTTCCTTAACTGCCTCTTTAGTTTGGACTTTGATCGGTGTTCCAAACTGAACGGGAGAGGTTTCGATACCGGCGGCTGGTGAAATAGCATTAAGCGGCTCGCTGATAGTATGTGAAGAACAACCTGACTTTCTTCTTTCCTTCGCTTGTTGTTTCTTCTGTGCTTTGAGAATGTCTTTGGAAGTGGAGAAACTAGGACCAGTATAGATGGGCGAGTCTTTCGAAACGAGTAATGGAGTAAGCTCCGAGGGAGCGGTCAAGTTTATATAGTTTTCCGCCGTGGAGGCTCTACGTTGTATTTCCTCAATCGATTTATTCGTCATATGCTTTGGGAGTTGAATAAACATTGCACCTCTGGGTAATCCTTTAGACAGTCCTTGCGGCAAACCTTTGTCTAGTTTCTCCACCTTATCTTGTACATTTCCTTCGAGTCTACCACTATCCAACTTACCGTTGTCTGCCTTACATCCATTATCAACCTTCTCGTGCCTCAGATCAGCACTCGTGAGAACTGACTGGGAAGAAAGCATCGAGTAAGTAGAAGAAGGAGTTCGACCAGGTTGTTCCTCTCCCCACGGATTCGGGTGATCAAGAACATTCTTTGCATGGATCGGAACGGGCAAATTGCCAGTAGAAAAGAGAGACCTAGGTTGGCTTAGGATTGGTGGGCGGGGTGGACTCTCAGGTGGATGCGCTTTACATGTCTGTTCAATTGATTGGGTTGCGAAGAATTTGCGTTGAGGACTGGAAGCACGAGAGTTTGTAGGATTAGGGTTAGTAGTAGTAGGATGAGTAGTGACAGTGGCTGGCTGAGGGGTGGTAGCAGGCCGATGAATAGGAGTTGGTCGAGGAATTCCCCCAAGATGCTGCTGCTTAATTTGAACCTCCGAATTACCTGCGGGGAACTTGGGTTTACTCAGATTAGTAATTTTGAGTTTCGAAGAATCTACCTTTGAAGGTAGGTTCGAATGATTGAGTTCGTCTGCTTTGCGTTTCGATTCCTAAGTATGTTAGATAAAGCCACCTAAAAATCCTGTCTGTTCGTTGTGCATTACATAAGTATGGTCATTTGACGTGTAAAGATTCACAAGGGTACAATATCCATACTACCACACTGTGGTTGGTGTCAAGGGTTCATCACGACAATATGTAGTAGCATTATATATATATAATAGATAAATGTTTTAGTGCAGTTTCAAACGCCTCCTAAGCAAACTTGCTATTTTCCCATGACCTCCCATATGCGATTCTATATATTCAAAACTTTTGAGGTTTAGCTCGATCCATCACTTACATCTTTTGATTTACCACTGGAGCTTGTGCCGTTGTCAGTCCCTCTTCCATCATCCTTTGAGTGGTTGTGATCTTTGACCCCTTTCGCAGCTTTCGCAAGGGTGACCGTCTTGTCCTTGGTAGTGAGATCGTTCACGAGTGTTGCATCCTTTTTTGCAGGGCTTTTTGATCTGGACTTGGATCTTGATTTCCTGTCAGAAGGTTTGACGAAGATTTGCTTCGCCCATAGGTCTGCATATCGCCCCTTGGAGTGAAACAACTTATCATGAGATCCTTGTTCGACTATTTGGCCATCCATGACAACAACAATATGGTCGGCTTTCATCACAGTTGATAATCGATGACTAATAACAGTTAGCACGAAGTAAATATGGTTTATATATGGGATGAAACTCACGCAACAATAAAGGTTGTTCGACCCTTACACAGTGCGTTGAATCCCTCCTGAATTTTTTGTTCCGTCTCTGTGTCCACGGCGCTCGTAGCTTCATCGAGTAGAATAATTTTTGGTTGTTTTAGAATAGCACGAGCGATCGCAACACGTTGTTTTTCTCCACCGGAAAGCTTTACGCCACGATCACCAACTTTGGAATTGTAGCCATCCGCAAATTTCATAATCTTATCATGGACGGCGGCAGCTTTACAGGCTTCATGTACCTCCTCGTCTGTTGCGTCCAAGCGAGCATATCGAATGTTGTTCATGACGGTGTCATTGAAAAGAGTAGGGTCCTGTGGAACAACACCAACATGGCTTCGCAGACTATGATTCTATGTCAACAAGGGTACTGAGCATTTGAATCTTTGTCTTACCTGTGCATTGTAATGTCTCGAATGTCTTGACCATCAATCTTTATACTTCCTGATTTGACATCGTAGAAACGATCCATCAATTTTAACATTGTTGATTTGCCTCCGCCAGTCTCACCAACAAATGCAATCGTCTTTCCACCTGGGGCAAAGAAACTAACATTCTTCAAGATTGGCTTTCGCTCATCATAGGAAAAGCAGACGTCGTTGAACTCAATCTCGCATTTAGTAATCTCTAGGTCTTTGGCATTTGGAGCTTCTTTGATTGAGGGCTCTGTCTTAAGTAGTTCAAGAAGGCGTTCAGCATCTATTAAAGAACTCGAGATGGTTCTATATGCGGAAGCAAGGAATGATAGTGGTTCTGGGTTAGGCTTAGTATCCAGTACATGCTGAGGACCTCGACAAAGTCATACCTTGTATTTGACCCCAAAACATAAGTAAGGTAGTGAATTCTCCAACGGTATGACCTTCATACACTACCGAATAGGCACCGAGACAGAGTACACCTGTCAGTCCAAAGCACATAATCAGGCTCTTTGCCATGGAGGCAATGTACCAGAACCATTCATAGGCCCATTTGGAGTCAATATGTTCTTTGATGACTACAACAATTTGGTCAGTTATTCAATTCTAAAGGCGGTATACGGGGGTAATTTTACCTCCGGAGTAGCGTTCATTCTCGTAGGGTACCATGTTGAAAAGCTAGTACTTCGTTAGCGGTTTTGCAATAGATTGCGACATGAATACTGACGTTAGCAGTCGTCCAACCATCCAGTGATTCTTGCCCCGTTGTCCATTCCTTTCTGGCAAAAGTTATGTAATCCCGGCGTTGATTTGTTCTCATGGAGATCAGTTTTACAGTAGCGTACATGTAAGATACAAATGTGACAACCAAGACAAGGAACATATAAGGTCCAAAAGCACCGAAATAGATGAAAGCGATGACTAGATCGATGATCATCGGGACTACCTGAAAGCAGATCATCTCCATCAAGTCCGCGACTGATCTACCTCCATGTACTACCTGAAATAAATCTGAGGATGATTTGCTATCATGGAAATCGGAAGACAGGTTCATGATATGGCTATGCGCGGCTAAACTGAGTGTTTTGTATGCGTATTGTTCCAAGGGATTCCAGAGCCATGTTCTTATTACTGTAAGACACGAACCACCGTTTATGTACCTTAGGAGTGAGTATAGAAGAACAGGCGTCCAAATATTATGGCTATGATCTAGGTAGATAGGTTAGAGAAAGTTCTACGAGCTGGGTTTCCAATAGTCCAGACTGCATTTAGATAATGACAGAGTGTTGGTTTGGCGTCAATCGCAATGTTCGACTTGTTGAATATGTTGAAGTCCTTCAAATTGAAAGCTCAAATCTAGTCTGCTAGTCTGGACTATTGGAACCTCCGTTGATGGGCACTGGAGAATCACTTACCGCCCCCAGTATAATTGATTAAGCTTTGGACCATTATACCAAACTGTATTGGAACAAGAAGATTCAAAGCATTGCTTGCCAATAAGGTGATTGCAACAAGAACAGCCCGGAACTGGAGCATCTTGTGATTTACTGGCCAAACAAAGGGAATGAACATCTGAAATGAGTTATTAGTATAAATGTTCGGACCATGGTTGAACGCCGGGCTCTCACAGAAAATCCTTTGAGGTATGTCCACCAGTTGCCGTCTTCCTTGAGTCTTTTCGCGATAGCCTCTTTTGATTTGCGCTGATCTTTCAGATAAGAGTCTTCCGAAGCTACACTCGCCGTGTCCAACTCATCTCCTGCATCTTCATCTTCTTGAGTTGTAGGCTCACCCGTTGTGCCATATCCATTTCCGTTTAGGGTGGAGCTTTCGGAGCTAGATGGATCCGAGGGCTTCTTTAATAGTGATTGACGTTCTGCATCAATAGCTTCGGGGGCTTTATCCGAGTCGCGAATATACAAGTAGATAATAGGTAAGGCGATGAGATTGAAAATTCTTATAGCTTGTACAGTAATGAGTATGTAATCGAAAGCCGAGTTGGGCGGCGGAGAGAAAACATTTGGTAAAATGATTAGGCAGAGTTCCACACAAAGACCTATGAGCCAAGTTCCATAGTATGGATACCACGTAGGAAATTTTGTGTCTCCGAGTGCAATTATTTGAACCAGAAAGACCAGAGTCGATGAGATGAGGTAAACCTAGAAGGTCAGTCAAGCCAAAATAAATGTGATCGAGATGATGACATGTAAATTGAGAAAGTACAACAACACGATGTGCGAAATGAATCGTACGCTGACGTCAAATGTCTCCCAAATACCGATGTACTCCAGAGCAATTTAAAATCTCCAATGTGAATCAACAATCAAATTGTCATACAGACTGTGATTCCCATCAACATCTCAATCGATGCTTGACAATAGATCACTTCTTCAGACATAGCCTCAGTGTGCCAATATAAAGAGCGTAATCCACAAGGTCCATCGCATTACAGGTTGATGCTCCCCGAAAAGAAAAGTTTCCACTCACTACTCGGTCTTGTCCTGGATTCCCGTTTTCCAGTGACGATTTAATAATTGCGACAACGATTTCAACAGCCTATCATCACAAACATATTAGGACAGAATTTTGCACTACAGTGTAAATATGACGTACATATGTTCCAGTGAGACTTCCAATGCAGCACAATATCAACCCACGGCGAACATGCTGATCCTGGACTTGAGATTTCTCTGCTTGCATATAACACACGGTAATACCAAGAGCGATGAAGAAATAGAAAAAGACGAGAGTCGGATAAGTGTATCGTAGGATCTTGAGGGCCAACCAAAGCTACGAGAAGATTAGCAGAGTCTCATTATATTGTTCGAAGTATGTTTTTCGCTGGTTCTGCAGAGCCTCATTACTTCAAAAATGTTTGAGCATCTGGATGTAACCAGCTTTCTTTACTGTCACAAAGTGTAATCAACTATCGGACTTACGTTTGGTGAAGCCACGGGAGTGAACATTGTCTCCATGACGCTTGATGGATCTGAATCCATCAAGTAACGTGAAGTACGAACCGAAATCTATTGAGATGATGACGAATCAGCTGCTGAATTTGCGGGTCTGCATGCTGGTGAGAACAGAAAATGTACCATTTGCGACTTTATACATTGAGAGATTCTAGGATAAATTGGGCATGTTTGAAAAAAAAGTCAAGTGAAACGTGTTTGTGGAAGGAACAATGTGGTTCTGCTAGATATATATGATAAGATGCAGTGCACGCGAGGCTCTCCTCCTTTGTGAGTATTCTGAGAACCCAAGAAGGAATTAACCTTTCTTCGATCCAACCATGCTTGAATCATTGAAACCGTAAATATTGAAATAAGCAATGATGCGTCGATTATCAAACACAAAGTACAATCATTGAACGCTGTTGAAGAAAGGACTGTTTTGTGGTGTCTTAAGTTATTGTAGTAGTTTTTACCACGATTTTTTCAATATAATTAACCTCGACATCCATTAACCAAATCCCCTGTCATCGTCGTGTATTTATAAATACCCGGTAGAGTTGTCTTACGACTCCAGATTTTGATTCTGTATCATGATGTTTGGTGTGGAATATGAGTAAGAGACTTCTTACTTCACTTATTGCTTATTGCTTATAATCCACTCGTGTATGAAGAATTGGGGCTTGAAATACCAATAGCAGGGGAAAGTTCGAGTCAAGCGCTGGGAAAGGAGACGAACATGTAAATATAAATATCAATATTTCTCACTCACCTGTATTAGTAAGCGTCAATTGGTGCTTACTTCCTTTGTAGGTACAACTAACACTCCAATTATTGCTGTCAGCTGGATTAAATCAAGAGGAGGTCGTTGGGGAGTGGCAATTGCATCATTTCCTCGAGGCTCGTGTATAATCTGTAGGGGGTTTACATGTCGAGACTCGCCCACCAAGCCTTCTCACGCAATTCGGTGAGCTGAATGGGAGTGCAATTGATTCGCAGTACGTACTGTGTATGTATTTGGCGGTTGCGTCTTGGTCGACACCCACGTTATATAATACAATTGGACGATGGAAGAGAGAATATGGACCAGATGTGAGGTTGCGGTGCATATTAAGTATTGATTCACGAACAGACGCACGTTCGACGAGAGATTTCCATTCAACGAGAGATTTCCATTCAACGATAAGGGCGAAACCAATCTACTTCGGGTCTGGGATATTGAACTGGTCGGATCCTAGACCATTTCCCATGGAAGGATGTTCTCCACGCCACGCCTATGTACTCCGAATATGGCATTTCATGGGGTCTTATGAAAGCGGCAACAGCGGTAAATGAGTATGCAGAAATTGGACATCCTACTCTTCCCTCCATTTGTCGTCTGCTCGCCGACAATATACCTTTCTATACATGATGTACGGACACTTCTCTTTCCTTGTTGTGCCTAGCGCCGAGTAAAACATCTGAGCACATCCACCATCGAACGTGCAAAGCGAACATTATACTTCGTAGAATACAACTTATACCAGCCTACGCCTCGGATTGTGCGTGAATATTCATGCATTTGGTCATTGTACCTGTTGATAGGATATAGACCGGAGGTGCCAATGTAATGATTTTACTCAAAGCAAGTCTCAAGGTACGAGTATGGTGATGGCTTGGATGGAACATGCATGAAGGTTATGTGATAGATGGGGGATATGGGTATGGGGGATGCATATTGGGTAATATAATCGTATATCAAAATTGATGAGGGAGTACCTCGAGAGTAGGTAGGAGGACATCTAGGTAGTTGTTACCTTTGAGGTTTGGACGTAAAAAAAGTATCCGGCCATTCGACGGAACTCAACAGTGTTGTATATGACGATATACCAGAGTCTATACTCATCCATTGACTCCTTTCCCATCTCCTTTCCATTGCCATTGCCATTTCCATTTCCATCCACAACTGTATGAGATGATTTCCCAATTTCCAAGGGTTTGGAGTTCGTGTACGGTACTTCCATCCACACAGCATGTAGGTAACCTTATATATCCTTGCAATTCCAGTGGCAAGCCCGCAATTAACCAATAGCCGACACGTTTACCGTTCAGTTCAACCACCATCTTTTATTTATCACATCATCAATCACTTCATTTCACTCCACACAAACCTCGAGCGTCAAACTTCTATTCATTCACCAGTCCAACTGGCTTTCGTGACTTTCGTCCAACAAGGAACCGGACTAACATCCTTTATGAATCCAATCAATAGATCCCTTTCGCAGATGCACATACGACGAATAGCTGTGATCCATCGATTGGAGCACGCGAACCATTCCTCAACCTGTTGAGCACATTACTGTAGTGTACGAACACACCTTCGACTCTCCGATGGCGACCATGCGATGATAATAATACACAAATGCAATCAAAACCGAGGGAAGAGAGGCGAAAGGATTAACGTCGTCATAAATGCCTGGAATCTTTACACCACTTCACGCAACTACAGTCGTCGAACAATTGGAGCATACTAGAATTCTTCAGGGGTGAGCAATATCTCCCAATGATCTGTACCAATATCTATAACCTTGCATACAACCTGCGGAGGCACACAACCGAATGACTCGTCGGTATTGCGGTTGCACTTGCTGCTCATCTCTTATGAACAATGCTACATCCACTTCCTTTGCAGATCTCTTGTCTTGATGATCTTCCTTGAATCCCCCCACCTCGATCAATTCTACCACAACTCATAGCCCCATACGGGTTGAATTTTGCTGCTATATTAGTGGTACATATTCTCGGCAGTATACAAGGTGAATTCAACTGGCCTTGCAATACGCGAAGTGACAATACTTGCAATTTCGCACATTTTCGTTCTTCGGTGAATGGTGTATTTCTTAAAAGGCACAGCTCGTTGGCCTAGCTAAAAGATCAGAAGCCAGGCCATTGGGATAGCCACCAAGGCCCGCTTCGTGCATACGACCCGCTCGTTACTAGTTTGATTTCTTGTATTCAGATCATAATCTCTGGTCAGGCAAATCGGTCTCGTACAGATACTACCACATAACCTCGGCTGATTGCTTGTCATCCTGACCTGTGAAATGCCTTTCGTCGCTGCATGTCGTCGAAAAGATCTAAGATCTGCATTAAATATCAATGATTTGCGGTACAAAATAGATATCCCACACCCCACCCGGCAGTCTATACGATTGGCTCAGCCCTCGGCAATGAGTTGTCTATTTTCGAGCATATTTTCTCAATAGCTGACTTCACGTTAATGCAAAGCTGTTAGGCATCTGCAGGGAAGATGGCGTTTTATCCCAGCAGTATCTGCAGTTTTATTCAGAAATGGCACTTGATCACATGAATATTTGCAAGCATTAAGTAAAAATCGCTGGATTGAATGGTGGATGAATGAGCACATCTCCGCCATTGGATGATTGATGTTTCTGAAGCCTAGATTATAGTATCTTTCCCTATGATAGATCCCGAAATCGCTTTCTCCTAGAAAAACTTGAATGAAGTCTCCTCGAGCCATACTATTATCAGAAGTCAATTTGAACATCCCAAACATTCATCAAAGTCGACCGGTACAAATCCAGTCTACAAAATTACCACGCCATTCCATCAATCATAGTCCTCCAGTGTTTCCATTGCTTCCACTGCCACCAAACTCAAAATTGTATCCAAAAGGATACTTGGTCTCTTCCTGGGTGAAGTTCCATTCGGAATTCTGTTGAAAATTACCAAGACCTTGCGCAGTCGAGATATTTTGATTTGCGCCGAATTCTGGGACATGTGATCGAGAATTTGGAACGAACAATTGATTATTATGACCGCGCGATTGTCCCTGGGGGTTGGCCATGTTTAAATTGAACAGCTGGTCTGTAATCTGACTCAAGTTTGCAGGTGAGGATGGACGACTGCGAGAGATGGTGTTAGGAGGGGCATTGAAACCAATACTTGTGCTTGGCATTGCAAACGAGCTAGTACTGCCACCATATCGAAGGGTAGGTGTGCTAGATCTACTTCCAGCGTTCAATGCTTGGAACGACGTCATCTGACTGGGAGTGAAAGGTCTTGCACGACCACCTGACGGGAATGTAGACTTGCTCTGGGTGGCACGTGGTGATGCGAATCTAGCAGAAGAATCTACGCCTGACATTGTACTTGAAGAAGTACCGGCCATATTACCAGCCATTGTATTTTGCTGTGTTGGGCGATTGTAGTATGCGGCGACATATGATGGTGGTCCTTGCCTAGTCTCAGAATTTGCTGCTTGGGTCTGATATCTTGCGGGAATGTTGGTCATGCTGTTCAAACTCGATGCAGTTTCTCTGTCCTTTGTAAGCTGGCTTTTTGGGCCATTGGCATTCCAGTTTGGGTTGGCAGTTGGAATAAAAATGTCATCATCTTCCTGATCAAAACCTCTGGCGTTGTTAAACTCCTTTCTTGTCTGGTTTGCGACCTCATCGAGAACTGCCTGTTCTTCAGCGCTCAATGTGGGCATAATTGGCTTCTCATTTTTGGCAATCGCTTTCTTTGCAGAAGCAACTGAAGCTTTCATGTCAATTTGCTCTCCTGGAAGAAAATCGCAGTGGTCAATATCTGATGATACGGGGTATGGGATATGGCCTAGAGGGAACTCCTTGTGTATTTCTGGATCACCGCTAATGCGTTGCCAATATGTCCAAGAAGTTGGCTTTGCTTGATATCCACCGGGATTATGATTAATAGCAGGAGGCAAGCTATCCCAGTCAGGAATAGGAGCTTTCTTCCACTCAGTTGTGTTGGTATCAACAGTGACCTTCTCACCCGCACCTTTGTATTCGCCTCCATGCAAAAGACCATCAGTATTGGGACTTTGGATATCGACTGCCTTGCCCTTGCCCTTGTAATTTGTTGTGGGTAGTTGAGGATTGGAAGCGTCGACAGCTTCATCGAAAGTTGCACCAAACTTGAAGGCAGATGCGATAGGGTTCAAGCCACTCGATAAGCCACTTGTAGATGTCGTCTTTCCGAAGATGCCGCCGCCTGGTGGCTTACCACCTGACAAACGTCTGACTCTTGGCTGTCTGGAGCCGTCAGCGTCGAAGATATGACCAATTTCGTGAATGTTGTAGGTGCCTCTGCATTTGACAGTATGAAGCCTCAAAACAGGAACATTTCCTGCCACGCCAAGTTGGATAGCTGTACAATACAGTCCCCAATAGTTGTTCATTGGACCACCACTGATACAATTCCAGGTCACCCATTGTGCGGATGGATTTGGGACATTGAGCGAAGCGTGAGAGGTCGCATCGGTTACAACGCCTTCAATAGCTGGTAGAAAACTGTCCATATCACGTTGACCACAACGAACGTCGATACGCCGAATCAAATACTTGCCCTTGCCTCTATGGATAGAATTGGGGTCACGCTCACGTCCGTCGATAAGGCCCTGCAATTTGTTGATTAAATCCTTGAGGTCCAGATTGAGGGTTAACAAAATCGTGTGGTGACTTGTTTCGCCGCCTATTTCATCGTATGCGATCACATCAATTTCGCGCTCCGAAAGTTCACATCCAGCTCGAATATTCTCCTCACAGTATGCGTTTAATTGACGACATGCTTCCTCGTAAGTGAGCGGGACGGTGGTGGACATGGCGTACTCAGTCTGGCTCGACTGGCGAGACTGATACGAGGTGACTGAGGGTGCGAGGTAGGAGTTAAGGTCTTTGCTGTTGTCTTTATTGTCTTGAGGCATTGAAACTTCAGCCGCAGGACCGAAACCGTCGCTGGCGGTTTGTTGGAGCATCTGACGCAAAAATGGAGGAGTCTCCTCTTCTTCGTAATTAATCATATTAGCTATTGCAAAGCAAGATGGCTTTTAAACCATCAAAAAATGTGGGTAGATGAGATTTCAATCAGATTGAGGAAAGAAGTTGTTTGAAAGAAGAGGCTGCGAGGCAGAAGGTAATTGTAGGTAAACATAAACGCACTAGCGTGTTTTGTTGCCATGGGAGAAAGTGAATGTTTATTCTGCCAAGTGATGTGCGTCGAGCGGTGTCAAGAGTGAAGGTGCGACGATAGTGAAGTTTGAAATTTCTTACCATCAGTTTTGGGTACGGTAGAAGGTGGAGGAGCAACTTTTGTTCTTGTCAGTACGGACAATCAAAAGCTCAACGAGAGGTAGGATGCGTACACGATGCAAGTGCGAGATCAATGGATTGACCTGTAGGCCAGTCGGCGTCAGCAAGATGTCCATCATGATGATGGAGATAAATGTACTTGCCATCGCCACTGATCAATTCGTCGGACCGCACAGAGCGAGTGAAGTGAGACTTGGCTGATTGTCTGGGGTCAGCACATGCAGTAGTAGTGAGGTTGTGGTTCAAGTGGGAAGTTCTTACCTGTGGTGTAGCTTTCATTGCTACTGGGCCCACTTGATTTGCTGACGACACTCTCATCATCTATTTATAGAATGGAAAGTCAGTATGTGGCTTTGAGATGATAGGTACAGTAGCTCTTGAGTTGACCATCCCCGAATCCTGGGGGTTTTCAATGTCGGCCTTGAACGCAGACACTAAAAAATCAATTTTAGGATGCTCATTCCTTGCAAAGTATGCTCTTTTGTCGGAGATAAGGGTGGAAGAGCAAGCAGGTAAATTTCAGAGGTTCTTGATCATCGATTTATTGTTCCTTGGGATTTGAACAGTTGACCGATGATCAAGAACCTCTTCACCTCACTCGATGAAGTTTGCTCAATCAATACTCGGTCTGTTTGTAGGAAGAATAGCTTGAGGGTGGAGGACTTGTAGCTATCAGGTAAGTCTCAAAGGTCTTGATTCATCAAAGCAATTGTTGTTTTGGATCTGATCAATTGCTTGATGATAAAGAAGAACCTTTTGACCTAGTAGAATAGAAAGAGAATAATAAATAGAATATTTACATACCAGAGGACCCCATGTTGTTGAAGAAGTTGTGGATAATGTGGTAAACAAAGCTGTGAAGGAACAATTAAATTAAACAGAAAAGGTAAGGAAGAAAAGAAAGTGGGCAAGAAAAAGTTGAAGAGGTAAATAGTAGAGTAGAAGATCCGGACCCTTTTTCTGTCGCTTAGCTCGAATTGTCTGCCTGATTTTTTGGGGGTCTTGTTTTTGGGACTTCAAGGTTTGAGGTAAGGTTGGGTAGAAGTTGAGACTTGTTTGGGAGTATGATTGGGACCTGGGGGATTGGGGGGGTTGTGAAAGGGAAAGAAGAAAAATAAAGGAAAGGTTGGTTGTGGTTTGAGATGATTTGGTTTGTGGTTGAAAGTGGTAGTGGTAGACGTCGCTGGATGTTCTAGTCAATGTATGGGTAGATTCACTGGACTTGGGGTTCTGTTGTTAGAGAGATCAGCACATTTTCTGTTGTTTCTTGTAGTTTTTGATGGGAGTTTCCTACTTCTATAACCTTTGAACTTTTTGGGCTTGTTTTTCACAGTTTAAAATGAGAGATGGAGATGGCAGATGGGGATGGCAAATGGGGAGGAATTAATAGGTATGTGAGTACTTTCTCCTCTGTTTAATCTATACCACAGCTTTCCGTTGGTGGTTTTTATTTTAGCTTACTGGGCTTCTGGGTCAGATTAGGATGTTTGTTTGGGATTCGTGGATGAGGTGAGGATTTTGTTTTACTTGTGTTGATTGACCTACCTACATACCTACCTATATCATTGGAATCGATGAATGTTTTGTTTGCTGTCGAATCTGCAATACATCTACAGGAACAGGAGGTAAGGTATGAGCTAATTTCTATCATGTAGAATTCATGAGATGAGCATTTAATTCTGCATCAAGACTTGGACATTTATTCTTCATCTTGATGGACTGACTGATTGAATTATGAGTTGCTTGTGATTACTGTACTCATTCTTTTATGTTGAAAGGAAGTGGAATTATACTTGTGATGGTGTATTAGTTATCATCTCTGCCTTTTGTTTTGTTTAAGGAATGGAGTCTCAGGTATTCCAAATATTCCATCTTTTTCTAGATTACTGAGATCTTGCATGAATACCTAGCTAGATACACTTTCTTTTCTGCCACTACTTCTCCTCCCTCTTCGTCTACTATCACCGTGTTTTCTTTTCTCAGTCTACAAATGGCCGTCTACTTCTCTATATATTCCTTAGAATATTTATGCTAAGCTATCTCCGAAATATAGTTCAACGTCACGAATGACGGACGAAATTCGAAATTCCGAGCGTTTCTCGATTGCCTAGTTCTTGGCACACTTCGGTTGATTGGATTGCATACCGCAGATTTGACTTGATGGTCCTGCAACGGCTTCTCCAACAGCCACTTGGATCCTTGGTCAATCTGCAAGATCACAGTATGAATACTCTCGCAATTGTTCTTTAATACCTTCATCGGGATCTCCTCTACGACTCTTCGATTTGGGAGCATGATGACCCGTCAAACATATACAATATTTTGTGGCAAGACATATATATCGAAAAATCGATAGCACTGGCTGCTTGAGAAGTAGATGATACCACGGGGAAGCCTGTTGGTTGTGCTTATTTGATTGCGTCTTTAATTGGAGTCCCTGGTCGAGAATCCTGCGGAAATGGAAGACCGGGAATTCGGAAGTAGAACTCTGTGTACTCTCGCATGCCGCTAGTCACTTATGTACTTCATGTCGGATAAATAAGGCTGCTACAAGACCAGACTACGGCCACTTCTGTGTGCGGTGTCCTGGAAGTCCAGATAGGAGTTAAAGATCGATCAGAATGTTTTAAGTTGTTCGACGGGAGGCTTCGTTGGAGAATAGACATACACTGCACTGGGATGATGAACTCCGATATTGCAACATCAATATTACATTCTTAGCCCACGAGAGTGAGATTACAAAGCGGCTCAAGCAGTTCGCGGTACATAGGTCGGCTAAGGCGATTCCTCTGCCAAGATTATCTCATACTACCAAGATTCTGAGATTGATAAACAGCAATTGACTACTAGTGTCTACTGCTCGCTGGTGCTGACATTGCCCCCTATCAACTTTCTTGACCCATAGCACACCTCAGCTCTCGAAGGACGAAAGATATGCAAATTAACAAAGGCGAAAACCACGTTTGATACCTTTTTTGACGGAAGCTTAGATTACCAACACCAGTCTCGGGATATACTGGAGGGCGATATGTTGTGGTGCTTCATCCACTTCGAAAAGGATCGGCAGCCGCGCTGTGAAAGTGTTGAGACTAGCCGTGGTCGAGTTACTTTCATGTGTTATGATGCGGAAATGGAAAATGTGCGGACTGAGTGATCAAGTAATGCACTAGGCATGCAGGAATCGGAAAGGATATTGAACAAGAATGAACATGTGAAGACCAGAAAACCGGCTTGGATCGACCATAGATTTTTACGAATTTCACGAAGATTGACGAATACCGGGAAATAACCTACTGCTTCTTTAATGAACCATATTTGACTTGTATTGCAAGTATTCATCTCCACCAGCGGTCCTCGAGTTGGCTCAATTGTTTGGATCCGTACAGAATTGTGATAACTTCACCCCCATAGACCAAGGTCTCAAAATGAATACCAAGATGTGATATTGAGATCCAACTGCAATCGACCTGTCCTTTTTCCTTCGACCGGTGCAGTGGAAAATCTTCCTACAGCATCATCTACTTGATTCATCTTGTGGGAACGCATGGATCGGAACGAGTTTCCCGTTGCAGACCTTCCCTGTCTCTCCGGAAGGGAAGAACCTTTGGTCTACCGACTTTTGAGATGGCCTTGCTATAACCTATGGATGATTGCATGGCTTACTGTACGGTGTCACGCGGATTCCTCTATATATCTCCTGCCTCAAATCGCTCGATTGAGCACTCAAGAAGGAGTGACTTTGATCGGGATGAACACTGAATTTCAGCATCGCAGAGAGAAATTGTTACGCTTGGGAGAAGAGGTGACATTACCTGAATCAATTGATGAACCTCACTAAGCATTTAATCAACTGACGAAATTTCAAAGTGAATCACGAGGTGGGAAAATTGCAACCCCGTGTACCGGTACACCCTCGCTTATGTACTTCCGTGAAGTCTAAATTCTTGACAGCACTAATGAATCTAGCTCAAGCACTAGTTGATCTAGTTAAATGCAGTTTTTTAACTATATAAGGAAGAACTGTCCTCCCAGATTCCCCTTCTTCTCTTCACAAGCAATAACAACCATAATTATAGTCACTATCTTAAGTCTTATCTTAATCACAATAAGTCATCTCGACCTCCACTTTATACAATCCAATATATACCTTCTTCAAAACTTTCTTCCCTGAATTTGGAGCGAAAATTTCGACTACCCAAGAACTCTGGACACCCCTTCCATACAAGATCGTTCACCAACATCATTATTCGCCATTTCAAATAACAGGATTTATCCTAGCTAGGGCCAAAAATTGAATAGTGACCTCACCGCAATTCATATTAAATCTTTCAACAAATAAACTTTGGCATATATTCAGCACTCGAGGAGACACAAGCAAGAGCAGTCATGTTTTCAAATTTGGATTCGAGACTTCGTCGAGCTATGAGCTCAAGAAGGGAAAAGAGGGCAACCTATAAAGAAACGGAGAATAATGGATTAGTTGGTCGATCCAAAAGTACCAGCGAAACATCAAGAGCAAAAAATCTGGCTTTAAAGACATCAGAGCAATCAAAAACAGATTTGAATTTTACTAAAGTCGAAAAGATTGTAATGGACGAGAAGAACGAGCGAAAAGCCAGGCCCCCTCACAAAAGAAGTGTATCGCAGGATTATTTGTCCAGAAAGCATTTCATTCAACTCGCAGCGGATAAAATTGAACGTTCTCAACAACAATTGTTGTTATTGAAACAAAAAGACCCTGCAGAGGAGGTATATCCATCTTTGCGTCTATCTAGTGAGCTAAGCATGGATGTATATACATCTGGTGATATGATCGAGGACATGAACAAGGAGGAGTTATAATACAACATCAGAATTAATCAAATAATCAGAACGACTTGGTCTGAACATCACCCGGAATTAAAGACACATCAAGATTGCGAAGATTTAAGTAGAGAGCGGATAAAGGAAAGTGATCTCCTATACGACGAACGAATAACGGAGAGTCGTAAAGCTGCGATCATACGAAATTTTGAACGAACAACATTGAAGTGGGGAGAGAGGGTAGACGATGAACTCCAATTTTTATCCTTGCCCTATCATTGTTTGGGTGCAGCTTTACCCCATCGTTATATCGAGGATTTAATTGCAAAAAGAAAATTTGAAATTCAATTGTTGGAAAAAGAATTGGAAAAGAGGATGGAAAATAAGGAGGAGCACATCCCACATACAGATGCAGTCTATTCATAATTGGAAGGGGGAAAGAGCAAATGGTGATAGGGGAGTATATGATGTTGAGTGATGGGCGTGGTGGGCGTGGTGGTGGGTGGTGGAATAACATCCAAGTTTCAAGTATATAAGTCGCGAGTATCTTTCTCTTCGCAAGTCTTGAGATATTGTAGATCTACGATCAGATGGATCCTTGAGCTAAACTTTTGTACATATTCCATTCAACATATGATGAATATCAAAAAAGATTACCCTATGGGGTATAACGGCGACCAAAGCGTTGGATAAATAGTAGTTAGGCTGAGCGCAAATGTAGGAGTCAAAAAGCACCAATAAAATTTGTTAAAAACACATTTCGTAGACCATGCGATAACATGACGGGAGCGTGCAGTTCTTACCCAGTAGTCTACGTCAAGCTCCTCATAATTGCATCTATTGGTTGTAAAGATATTTACAACAACTCCCGAAACCGTTTAAAACACATGTCAAAGCCGCTTAAATCGCCTTCAAGAAGAACCAAAGCATGTCATTGCCGCGGTACTCCATCGGCGCATATGAACCGTAACTTGAACATCGGCGATATCATTGGGTACTTTGGTTGCTGGATCGTCACCACCGTTGATGCCATCCCGTATCTTCATGATACGATTCTTAATGATCTTATTGTCACCCTGAGCAGACGTGCCAGGCTGAGAGAAGTCAATATCAAAAATGAGTTCTACAGCGGTGGCGGCATGTTGCTGAATTTTGCTAATAATATCGTCTTCTCCCCCTTGTCTCCAGGGACCTTGTGGTCTAAAATTGATCTTAATGACGCGGTCCTCAAGCTCATAATGTACTTCTGGCGACGAAGTTGTATTAAGTGCTGTCGAAGGATTTGTGAGTTGAGATTGAGCCATGATTTAACAATGCCAGTGATCGGATAGGCTGAATCCGCTTTATGTGTATGTCAAAGATGCAGATGGAAAATGGTAAGGGAAGGAGCTGAGTTGCCAATATATAATAATAAATAGGTTGCTTACTATAGTTTACCATATATGCATATAACTGTTAAAGCCATAGGCGCTTATAAAGTAAATCAAAAAAGAAAATGACTCTTCATAAATCGTTAAAAATGGTATCATAAGTCACAGGGATAGAAGAAATTTATTTGCCAAAGAAAAGTTGAGATCATCATGGCCATTCCAATCAAGATGACACCTCAGAACAATGTTGCAACAACTCTTGAATTCATAAGAGAGTGTCTTTTCGGGATAGCCTGTGACATCTTTGTCGATTTTGGTTGTGTATCACAATTTTCTATCAAACTTCATGTATTCTTAGTATGGCATTGACCAGGGTTAATTCAACAATATCAAGGTTGAGGTATAGGAAACAAACCAACATGCCGTCACTTCAAGATTTCATACCCAAGAAATTGTAGATAATTCCTGAGTTATAGCATTATCATCACAATTGCAAAGGTAAACAAAGAACAGGTACACATATTATTAGACATTCAGTTCTGAGGTTGAATGCATTCCATGTTATCCAACTCTTCCCCAAGATACGACTTGACCCAGGAAATTGAAACCCCCAATCCCTATTGAAAACAGCTTCTCCTCTTCAGCACCAGAAAGATTTGCGAGGTGTTCAATATACTCCTCAAACTGCTTAGCCAATCTTGCCCCAACGTGGTGTCAAACTTATCCACATATGATCCCCCATTCATACTAACCCTCAACGTATAATGCATACGCAAATCCTCCAAGACTGCTTTTGGGTAATACAGAGGGCTAAATGTAAACGAAACAAGATATAATACGAGTGCGCAAGAAGACGATGCATTCATTCTACTGAATTGTCGAAAATTTGCGATTAACCATGGATATTCCGGTTCTTGTATATGATAGCGAACCAGCAGTTCACGTCCTTAATTTGTGATCTACGACACGAAAGAAGCTTGGAGTTTTGGTGCGGATTATTCCGTAATATTATCATTATTGATGAAGGCACAAAACCAGAGAACGAAACACATTCTTAAGCGATATTAAATCCTTCCAGAAATCGATCCTATTCTCCTCTATCCTAACACCACTTCCAAACTATGTCACAAGAATTCCGAACAATTAACAAATAGATCATCACCATAACCCCCCTATCTATCATTCGGCAGTCGGCTCTCGCGAGCATGCTTATCGATTTTCTTCTCAATATCCTCCCCTCGACTACGTATCTCACCGGTGTAACATTTAGTAGAGTTACTCTCCTCCTATGTATACGTAAGCCTCTAGGGTGGCATCAAAAGTGAAAAGTCAGAGCCACATTTGAGTTGCCGAGTGCTGAAGCGAGGCTTATGAAATATCACTTCGACTTCATCAAATCCAGTCAGCTCTCCATCTCTGCCGACCACCAGAAGGTTGATGCTTCGAGAGATCTCTATGATTTGATCTCTGATCGTATATAGTCTGCTCATTCGTAGTAAAAGTATCATGATCCTCATAGGGAATCTCGAAAATGATTCGGAAAGTCTTTGGGTATTTCTGTATATCTTGGAAAATAGTGTCTTTGAAATCAGCTCTCCAGCTCCCATGTTAGGTCGAAATCAATGTTCATGAAATCGGAGTCTCTGTCGTATTTAACCTCCCGTTTTCTATAATCGACCTGCTTGGAAGCAGACATCGCGAATGAATTTTTTGTGGAATGCTATGGGCCTTTGATCTCGTCTCTGTGGAAGATGTCCTTATTAGAGAATGAGGACCCGACCTCATATTATATATTATTTAATGGGGCGGTCTTACTACTGTTTCCCAAATTGATATGATTAATGCATGGTATTATTGTGGAAAACCGTCATTACTGTGAGTTTAGATGTCTGTAGATTGAAACATGAAGTGAGAAATGTAAAGGTTGAGATAATTGCTGAGGAGAATGGAGCCGAAATGATTACTTTTGTGCTTCTGAACTCACGGTGTGGGAGTTTGTGGTTTGTTTAAAGAATATAACATCCTGGGGAACTTCATCGTCTCTCTCACGTAAGTAAAGAGAAGATAAGAATGAGCATAGAATGATTAACCGAGGGTTTGCTTGTTACTAGATCATCTAGTGTCATCTTCTTTTGGAAATCTTTGTTAGACACCAACAAACCGTGGAATAGTTTGCGTGAAATAGCTGTTAATTTTTGCCAGTGGCGGTGTACGCGATAAATTAGCAATTCCAGTATAGAAAATGATGGAAGTTATGAAGTGAATGACAACAGAGGAGCTCGAGCGTGCAAGATCAAGTAATGGTGTTATATAGGCAATATATGCCCCTACAAACCAGTCCGATCGGCATACCCCATCAATAACCAATCGATTTTTGCTTTAACCCTAAGATACAAGCATCTCCAATAGGAAATTATTAAACTCTCAACTAATTCTCCAGACCGAACTACCTTCAATATTTATCCCTGAACCCTCAAAATCTTGGCTGTCGTCAATCCCGCATCCTTGCGCGCTTTGGCAGCCGAGAGTTCCAACCGCCGATGCCCAGACTCAAGTACCGAGATCCAGCAAATTCTAAGTGGGGTACGCTAGCAACTCTTGGCTTCCAGACAATCCTGAATGAGGCAACCTAGTATTACTAATTCCTCGAGCATCAATTAGACCAGAATAATACCCGCTTGTCCCGAACTCAGGGATGAGTAGGTTGGTTCGATGAGAATTATTTCAGATCGAATACACAAGGTTCTTTATATCCTGACCTCCAGTGAGTGTCGAATGCTGCCGACTCACTATACCCCAGACTTCTCCAAAACTACAAGTTCATGTAAAATGATCATAAAAGGAATCATCCACCTATTCCAAATTATCCACGTATCTAGAAATCAACTTCGCTACACATTACCTATCATCCAATTCATGCGATTTTCGCTTTGGCCTAATTTATAATACGGTATCTGTACCTGCATTTCCCCATATCCCTTTATTGGCTCTACTTGCACACATAATGTATGATATCCCTCACCTAATGAGTTAGAATCTACCAATGCATTATCCCCATAATTGAAGGTGCTAGATCATCTAATTTATTTATCCCAGATTTTCAAGTCTACAGTATCTTACGTTTCTGGCATCCACAATATAGGAAATAAAATGCTGCCATAATAGTGAGGATGAGAGGAATACCGACCGATACATCAACCGTTATTGGAGTTGAGCTGGAAGTCGTTGTGGCGATTAGAGTGGTTGCCATGGAAAGGGAAGATGTCGATGCGGTGGTAGGAGCCTGTGAAGTTTGAGTGGTGAACAACGACCCTGATGTTGTACTAGCAGATATTAACGTTGCCGCAACAGCTGCCGCTAAATTTACGAATGAACCACCTGGTTCCGCAAACATTGTGCCAAATCCCGGTGCGAAAAAAGTTCATGTTCTAGAATAGCAATTTACATTATATGCGTAATACTAGGTTTCATCTTAAAGCTTCAAGAGTCTGTACAGCGCGAGGATCGATCTTGCATGTGGGATATCTCCTAGATAATCCAATCACATTCTGCTATTAGAGTCATGTTTGTGGGGTCATGAGGTGGGATCATGCATACCAGCGTGGGTTCAATAATGCAGCCTCGGAATAGTAACAGGTCAGGAACAAGGTGAGAAATGCTGCTCAATGCATACTCGTACTGCTGGAAGTTTCGCAAAAACAATTATTGAAAATTCTTATGATATTCTTACTTACAAAGAGTTGAGAATAAGTCTTCATATTGATAATCCCAAGCACTTGCTTATTGAGAAAAAAATCACTCAATCGTGTAAATTTCACGTATTTTCTTCCATCTGCGTCTAGGAGTGAAAGAACATGTTCAACGAATCTCTGAACAAACAACCAAACGCATCTTGGCTTTTGAATTTTACGAGAATGCCCGAATCAAATGAACTCATCCTGAACTTATGATCCGATGATTTCATGGCTCTGAAAGAATAGGCTAAATTTCGAAAGGGGTCAACTCATAACCCTAAAGAAGGATCATTTTCCTTTACGTTGCTGCCATGCCGCCATGCCTTCATTTTTCTAATTCCCGCCGCTCCCAACCATATCCCATGTTTGCAAATGGGCCTCCTAAGCGAAGAACGCAAAGCAAAGTGGCATAAGACAGACCGATACTCATCAGTCGAGGAAACACACGGTGATGGAATGGAGCAATCACCGATGATCTTACAACATGTCTCTCGAAGAAAGAGAGCAAGAGGGAATATTGTCGCTATGGGAAAAGATGATAGGAGATCAGGATATCTTAATGTAACTAGCGCTGACAGATTGCTTGAGTGGATGGCTTTTCCTACTCATGTCAACCTACATACCAACAGAACAGACCATTGAAACTCAGACTCCAAAATGTATCAAGACCAAAATGAAGACGATCGGTTTCCAAGGGCGGTGGCCATATTTTCGCTCAGTGAGACACAGTCTTTACTAATTGCATCTTATAATGCAAGCTTTTACAGCCTAGACTTGGTGAGGCCACAGATTGTAGCCGTTTCGTATAGTCTAAGACTAATGTAGTGCTATTTGTTGATTTCAAGACTCGATTGGTCTGAACTTTGTGGATGATTGATTCCAGGTCTGAGGTATTGAAAATTCAATTTGGACTAGAGGACTAGAGAAAGAACACGAAAGGTGTTGTCAAAAAGGAAGAGTGGCGAGTATTCACGATACCGGAAATAAATAGCGAAGCTCTGACATGGCCAACAATACTTGTCGTCTCATTGGAATAAAAAGCGAAGGTACAAAACAAAACTGTATCCAACATTGAAAAGAGTAATAAATAGCGGAGATATGCAACAAAGCTGCATTCAACATTGAAAGGAGTAATTAATAGCGAAGATATGCAACAAAAAGATGTTTTTCTCTTTGAGAAATTGGTGTAATGCGGCTGAAGCAATATAAAATGACAGGTTTCAGTCAATCATGATTTCAGCTGATAGTTGTTATGAGAGTGAAGGAATCCATCTCAATAATGAATATCAACTCATAGATAGATAGACAAGTGAAAGCATAGAATAAAGATCAAACTCCTGATCCAATCCTTCGATGTCTTCCCCTTCTCATCTACCGGACTATACCCAAGTCTGAGCGCAATAAATATAACCGCCGCAATTCTGTACGGCGGTAGGGACCAAGTTTCGAACACTGCTCATTTTCGCGAACATTTCACGACATATCACGCGAACGCATAAGCCAGTTTGAGGCCTTTCGAATCCGCAGTGATCGTCGAGCAGCTGAGATTCGCAATCAGTCTGCTAAGACCGTAATGGTGATGATCGGGACAAAGAATCGGAAGGATTTCAAAGACACGGACAAATTGTGGATTGAGATACAGAGAAGAAAGGAACGAAGACGATACATGCACGCGCAAAACAAAACGGATTGGTGTCGCAATCAATCCATCACGTGGACGACAGACACGTTGATTGAAATGTAACCCTGGGGCTCAAAAGCCAAAGATAGTTCAATATTTGATCCTTGATCAATAATCCCAAGATAGAAAACTTCAAGTTCTTCAACGATCCGCATAGACAGTGTCCACATTAATTCTCCGCTCACGAGTTTTCCTTGTGTATTTTTAATTTTTGTAGCCGCCCGGAGGAAAATGAAGTGGATTTTCTCGCATCACACATTAAAGTTGTCAAGCGGAGAAAGATACAAGCGATTGTAGATTACGCACGTGATCCACCTTCTCCTGTGAAATTTCAATCATCGGATAAAAGTCCCAAAGTCAAAAGAAACAGCCAACCAATCAATCATTCTTCATCAAGCAAACGAAACCCCCACGAAACATCTGTCGTTCTCGTTCCCTCGTTCAGCCTTTCAAGGGTACGACAATGAACGATAATCAATCCTACGACCGTTATCGTGAACCCGCTCTATCTATCTTGGACCGTAGTGCAGTCTAAGCGCTTTAAGTCTTTCCGAACTCCAGAAGTCCATTTTTAGATAGTTCAGGCGAGCTATCCGAGAAGAAAAGACTACGTGATCGTACGAATCTACCTATGGGAAATATTAAATCCCATAATGCGTTTCGAGCAGTACGTACTGTCTCGACCTCTTGTGTTGAAAATTGCGAGACGTCTCAATTTGAAGTATGAAGAAAGCTAATCTTAGGTAGACCTGTTCTTGAGGCCGAAGCTTAAAGGCATGAATGTCAATCTGACAATTGTCGTTTACGTTTTATGGGTTGTCATCATCATCGGATTCGAGTGAACCTCTACCTCCCGTCCCTCCAGAATTGGGAAATTTTTCATCTGATAAATGATATGACGATATCACCAGTGCTTATCAGATATGGATTATGGATCTCTCCATCCGATCTCTCTTCCATGTATCTTGCTCTTGTGGACTGTACAGTTAAGAATGAGTCAGAGTTTTCCTTCCTGAAACTGTGAAACGTAGATCATGAAACAAGATAAACATCTTGACTAATTCACGGAATGATACATCGCATCACTCCCATCAAAATTCCAAGATACAAAAATCAAACGATATCCAATAATTCAACCCAATCTATCAGAATCCAATTGATTCGTCAACAACCCATGTACAGCTGTACCGTTCATACCTAGGCAGGTATGCGGCGCGTCGAGAGAGAAAAACAGGGATAATTCGGAAATCATTCGCTTATTGGCGTGTGCTCCTTTACCAATGATCTTCAAGAAGAGGGTACGTCGTCAACACGACCCTGACACGTAACCGCCGGTCTCCATTTCTTCAATCCCGATTTTGGATTAACGTGACATTTCTTTACTTTGAGAAGTCTCATTTGAGTAAAGCATAATGTTACTTGGGCGCTTGATGGTCGGCTGTGCAAATTTGTTAGTAAAAGCGTCTGCCGTTCGCGGTACTTGATTAGTATGATCGAAATTGGGAATAGTTTCAATTAGTACTCCACAGTTCAGTTGAACTATTACTTATTGAAAAAATCTATTCCAATTCACCGAAGTTTGATGGGTCAACAGTTTGGCCAGTCGTATGTCGCAAAAGCTAAAAAAAAGTTTCATTAAGCAAGCGCTGGTCGACCAATAAAGCGACAAATTATTCTTAGGTACGTCTCCAAGTAGTGATACCTAATGAAATTATCGTTCAATGCTGTTGCCGTTGTTTGGTACGAGTACCTACACCCTACCTCTACTTATTAATGTTGTGCAATGTTGAATTGTTGACTTCAGTAACGCGAGCGCTTGGAGAAATTTCGCGATGTTGCACGCGATAACGTGGTTTTTGGTGTTCATGGTACCTACATATCCTAGAATGTAAATACCCGAACGCGTCTTTTTGCTTACTTCACAATCGGCGCCTCTATTTTCATTCGATTTGTGATTATCGACCTTGATTGGTTTAGTTCATAGTTTCCAGGTAGAACAATCAAGTTCCCATGTACAATACCATCTCCCCGGACCCTAAAAAATATTGGCGTTCATGGGCAAGGTTAAATAGTCTAAAAATGAGTCATTTTAACATTGCATTAGTGCTTCATATACTTAACCTAATTGAGATTATATTTATCCGGCGGTTGCTGAAGAACGAACCATATGGCCTCATCTTCTTGACCAAGAAACAGTATCATATCCACTTTGTATATTTTCAGTCTCGTCTAACTACATTTCTCCGCGTTTCGGATTATTTAGATCTTTTTCTCGATACCCCTGTCCTGACGTCAAGTCGATCCCCGAAGTGATCTAGGTATTGGATACTACCATTCTACTCAATTTCAACGAGGATAAGTACTGGTGGTTATCACCTCACATCTCTTTTTTAGTTATTCAGTCTCATCTCATACTCTTTCTTTCGTTCTTCATTCATTCGCATTAGGAATATCTTCTGTCATCAAAAAAATTAGAAGAGCTGTGCTCATCGTCGTATCATCATATCTTACATTTTAATATTCTTCAGTTGATCTTGAAGCAATCAAAAATATCTGGAGCCGGCTCCTTCATCAGAACTTTAATACACCTCGTGTTGTCATAATAGACACAGACCACCTACCGCTCACCACCACTCCACTCATATCTCTGCGTAAGTCAAGCACCTGACATTGCTAATAGATCCATACTACATGGACATTGATTAACATCTTTATGTATGCAGTCCGGTAGCAGACATGTCATTTGATTATTCTCCGTTCTCATTTGAGCCAACTACTCCACCACAATTCACATTTGAGGAGCCTTTAATTAGTGCTCCTTTCAGACTTGGCCATTCTCGACAAGGATCACAAGTGTCAATTTATTCTCGAGATTCATCTCCATCCGACTCTATCAGCATTTCAAGTACCCAGATGACTACTCCGACTAGATCACCAATTAGACAACATGGCCCACTTCTCCTACCTAAGATTCGTCCACAAGATCAAGAAATCAATGCTTCGCCCTCAACTGGATTGAGAGTAACCAAAACATCAAAAAAGAGTGCTGCTAGTCGTGCATTCAAACCCACTCATAATAGGAGCTACACGAATCCCGAAACAATCGTGTTTCACTCTGATATATTCCCTTCGAATACTCGTTCTATGTCTACTCTTTGCTCACCAATGCACGCTGTTCAATCAGTTGAGAGTCAGCATAGACGTTCCTCAAGCTCCAGTCTTGATGGTCAAACTCTCGGCAAATATGGATTCCCAACTTATCGTCAAATGCCAAATTACATTCAACAATCTCCAAATATGTCAGTCATGGAATCATACTCACCACAACCACATGAACGATACCCAACTCCTGCACGTGAGCCATCCCCTCTTGCTCAAATGAGCAGCATAGACGACATCCACCCCATCCATATCTCCGATAATTCCATGTCCAATCTCGCCACCTACCTCACCTCTCCCAACCCCGCTCCAGCGCTAGTCCGTCAGCTCAACATCCATGTCCGCGACACAAACGCCAAGCATTTCTGGTGGGATATCCGACAAATCCGACCCTGGACCTCCTTCAACACCACCACCATTTCCTCCATCCCCGGTTTCTGCGATCTACTGAACCTCGGTCTCCCATCCAACATTTTCCACCAACCATCCCGCGCGTGCAACAATCCCGAAAATGAACACGAATTACAAAACATCTACACCCAATTCTACGCCACAAAACTCAACCACGCACTTTCCATTTCCCAAGGAACCCGTCATCTCATGATGCGTGCCTCGTCAGCCATGGGACAAAAATCCGGCGATCCATCTTTCATCTCCAACTACACCGACGACAATTCCCAACTCATCTACGGACGAGGACTCGGTCGCGTCGTCGGATTAGTAAAGTCATTCGACCGCTGGAACACCGGTATGCGCGTCGAGGGCAACCATCGCAAAGTAGAGTATCTCCGGGGCCTCGCGCATCTACACAAATGCATGCGGGAACACGGATGTCGGTATGGATTCATCATGACGGAAATCGAACTTGTGGTTGTCCGCAACGGCTCTGACTCTGTGCCGCATTTTGGATATCTCGAGGTGCAGACGATCCAGCTTGCTGCGCATTCGAATTCTCCTTCTGCGTTTTCAGAGATGGAGATTTTGTGCGGGGATGACAAGTTGGAGAATATGACGGCGTTGATGGCGCTTTGGTTTTTGCATATGTTGGCGAGAGATGAGATGTTACCGGGTCAGGTGACTTGGAAGACGGAGATTGGAGCGCCGGCTGAGGGGACCAGGAGGAAGATTTTGCCGAAGGATGATTGGATTCCGGAACCGCAGTTGGCGGAGAAGAGAGAAGCGAAGAGGGGGAGAGGGTGGGTTTGGCCGGAGGAGGGCGTGGGGAGGAAGGAGTTGGGGAAGAGGGGTGTGAGGTATTAAGTTGGCCGTGGAATAGGAGGTGGAGTGTGCATGGAATTTGGAAATGAGGGGAATGTAAAGGGAAGAAAACAAAATAGAAAACCGCAGGTCGGTTTACGCATGCATTGAGGAGTTGGGAAATGACCCGGATTGAAACTGCAATTAGTAAAGGATGTAGCTTGGAGTAGTTTAATGATGGATTTCTGGGTGGCATGGTGGATTTTAGGAGTATTGATAATGAATTGCATTTTGCGCTTCTGATAACTTTATCTTGTGACTGCATTTCGGCACAAAGTGCTTCCCGCGTCGTCTTTCATTTCGAGAATAATATACCGCTTTTGTGATTCGGTAGTAAATGTTGGCAATTACTGGTACCTATTCAAACCCTTGAACTTCGAAGTAAAGATGCGGTAAAGACGACTCTAAGCGAGAACTAAGCCAATTACAACCGCATACTCCGAGTCTAAGTATGATTTGAGGTATCCTTAAAGGCTACAGCGTATTATGTATGGATCAATTTCCAGATGAGATAGGTCTATCTAGATTCCTGGGATTTTGTAGTTTGTTTATTACGGAATGGACATCCTCTGGTTTTCAGTCCATCCCAAACATCAAAGAAAACAGAAAGTTGTACAGCATGATTAGCTTTCTATACATTTTAGTAAGTCTAAACTTCTAGTGTCTTTCATACAAATCCCTAAAATCGTCATACTATATATCAAAAACCCTACTAGACATAAATTAATTAGATTTCCGACAGTTTTACATACTCCTCCCCAATCTCCACTCTATCACCGCATCTCCACCTCCATATCCCTTTTAGATTCCACCATCACGACCACCGTCACAGCTACCACCACAACCACAACCACAACCACATATCTCTCTCTGCACCACCACATCCACCACAAACCCCAGAACCAAACATCCTTGCTTCCAACATGAAGCACCCGCCAGCTATTTCGCAACCACACATTCCACCACCACTCCATCCACCTAACCTGCCATCGCTACACCCCCGAAAACCCATTCTCCCATTCCCGCAATCACACCAACGAGAGATCTTCCACTTGCTCCTGGTACATCTGGGTCTTGCGAGAGTGACGCGCTGCATCTTGAGAGTAAGTCGGATAGGCTTAATACACGTGGATTTATTGCGCATTTGTACGATGGTGAGTTTATTGATTTTTCAGGAGCATTGCTGATATCCACTTTATTTGGATTGTGTGTCTATGCTATGTTCGATTTACTGATGGATTGTTTGCGATATGTGTAGTCGATGTGCATGATTTTATCGCGTGGAATTCTTCACTTACTTGGATGCCCAGATACTAGTTCGTGTGTGCTGGCTCCGGGATATCGTTATTGTGTTGAGAGAAGCACAGTCCAATTGAATGGGACTTCTTCTGGGATCCCTTAGATACCAAATGGTGGGAGAGCTCTAAGGTTTGGGATTGCAACTGGTCAATTCTGGGATTTTCACTTCATGATTTGAACGGTGGTAAAAAAGAATAGTACGTGATCTGTGCTGGATCACGATATAATTGAGAGTTTTCAGGGTGTTGTGAAAAATGGATATTGTGATTGCACTCTCCGTTTCGAGGACACAGAACATCAGCCGGTCTTTAGTATTTGATCTATCATAGCTGCGATGACTACTGGCAAAGCATTTGCTGTATCAACGCAGCTTGTTTCTACTGACGTTTGATATGATAGCGGCTGCAACTACTGTGTATTTATTGAAATAATGGAGATTATTTTGAAGGAGGAAATCAGCACACTCATTTCCACAAGAATCAACCTTTATCTGTATCTTCTTCGGTCAACGCGAAAACTATTCTGACTACAATTTTATAGCAACTAATAGTCTTGTAGATCATCTCGAGGTCTGCACCCAAGATTATAATGACATAGGCGAAATAATATACATAAGCTTTGAACAGTGCTATAGTTTGGTATGTCTTCTGATATGATAGAGGATAACTTGCCACCACGTGGACTATCTCTCCTAGAACAGCATTACTTGAAAGTTTTTTCGAACAGGAAAATTTTGACAGGAGCCATATCAAATCGTGTTTTTGTACATCAGGAATCGACATTCGAAGACGCATTATTCATGATGACTTATACTGATGACAACTCTGTGCCTGGGCGATACGCTGGATGTGCTCCAGTGGTCTAGATATCATATCAGTGAATCAGAAACTCAACTGTCATGGTTGCTTCTGGTAGCCTAGAGATATGAGAAATTACAAACTATTGTTTCAGCAGGGCCTGTTTTGGTATTATGATATCGTGTTTCCCAGTCCTCGCTTTTGGACATGGAGCTTTAGTATAACCAGTCGAAAACTTTGAGGAGTGAAATTGTGATTTCACCTGGAAAGTCGGACGTATTCGATTCCGGTTTCATGGATACTGTGTTGTTATAATCGGGATCTACAGCTCGTATAGGTAGCGTAGAATCCCAAGGATCTGGCTTTCCAGGAAGCTTAGGTTTGTATGACGTCTTCAAAGATGTAACATTGTGGTCAAGAACTGTATCATCCACCACCAGAAAATGATCTGTCGCTCTGCCATTGGCAAGTTCGTCCCGTTTTCTCATCGTGATGAATCGTTGCCGGAAATCGTCGATGTTCGCCTCGTCCAGCAAAGGATCAGAAACAAAACGCGATGGATGAGTTTCGATCAGGGTAAATGCTCGCCTCCACGATCTACCTAGCACTATATCTGCCGTCATGTTGTAAGTTTCTCCGAAGACTCGCCATTTCTCATCTGTCCCTCTACGATAATCAGTTCGGAAAACAACGAACCCCCAATGCGGCAGCTTTGCGGCAAGAATCTCCCGTACCTATTTCGGTCGCGCACGTTCCCAGTAATCCTTGCATGCCTGTTCTCTTTTCTCACGCTGCTGTTTTCCAATTTGGGAAAAATATTCAGAGCATTTCTGAGGTAGGTATTTCCTTTCGATATCGTAGCGATCTTCCAATAAATCGTGTACTTTTCTGTCTAACTCCTTTTCTCTTTCTCAAATTCCATATACCACAGGAAGTCTCTTTTACCACTGTCAAGGCTCCCTGGAACGTGCGTAACGCCAAACATTGAGATGGTGACCTCTGAATCAGAGAGAGTATCTGAGCTACTCATGATCTTATCGTTGAGTTCCGACACGGTGAGACCGATCTTCTCCAGGCAAAGTCTATCTTCTTCATCCGGTGGCCGCAGTCCGAATAATTGATTCTTTTCGGCACGGGTGACTGATTTGGGATCTTTCAATGTTGCTATACGTTCGTATAATGCTTTATCCTCGGGTGTCATTCGGCGCTCTGTATGTAGATTATAAAATACTTCGCGCGGCAATTCAACTTCCTTGCCTTTGAGAGACATATTGAGCTTTCAGGTCAAGGTGAAATGAAAACAGTATGTACAACAGAGAAAGTATTTCTGAAGAGTCTTTCAAGAGATCTATATAAGAAGGAGACGGGAGGCGATTACTAGCGCTATCGCTCACCCTTAACCCGAAGCTTCTTGCCATATCCATAGAAATCATAAGACAGCTCATTTACGAATACCTTTGTGAGAATATTATCAATCGGTTAGTCCAACTGTTGGCCCCCTATGTTCCTTACGTAATACACAGATTGAAGATTACAAGGACTAGGCAGATATAGGCAGAACTGTACTGGATATGTGATAGTTGCCTCTTTTTGAACTTTGAATGTGAGGAAACCGAAAACTTGTGATCCTCCGGAGTGATTGTCAAGTGTGAGATTTGAAGTTTGATAATTCGAGCCTAAGGATGAGCAGACAATGGTACGCACATGATGAATGTATCATGCACCGACCTATATCTTAACTTGGTGATCTGGCGCGATGGAACCATCCATTGTATGTCTGAAATCTTCTTCGATCCTGATTTCGACTCGTGCAAAGTGAAGTCAAGAATAGGCGATAGAATTGAACCTCCTGTTTAGAAAATCAAATGAATCAAACTACACATTCACGTGACCACACTAATTATCAGCAAACGGATATACTTCGGCTCAAACTCTAACACTCTGACAGTTAGATGAGTAATCTCACATGACCCTGCAATAATAATTGTGTTGCACATCTAGAATTGAGATTATGTATCACTCAAATCAATCAAAATATTTACCGGATATTCATCCTATCAATACTATCAGACGCCTGATAGCGGGGTTACCAGGTATCTATTGAGGATTTTCACCATGGGATGAGATTAGATGAGTAGGTACGATGTGAGAATTTTGGGGTTGTTTTGTGAGATATTAACCTTACAGACCTTTTGATTTTTCTTCAATTCATTTATCAATATTATCTATATTCCACCAGTACTATATCTTTGTGATTCTCGATTGTTGAGTTTGGATTCTGATTCTGATAAAGGTATATAGGTTGAGTACCTAATCGTAACGATGGAGGAAGTAAGCACCAGTCATCCATTGGTTTGGATTGATTGTGAGGTATGTTATACTTCTTCATTATCACCCCTCTATGACCATCTGTTCATCAATTGATCCACCGAGTCCAATGTACGCATTGGATCAGCAGTCGAGGTATATAACATCCTTAAGCTTGCATGCTAACTATGGCATATCATATAGATGACAGGACTGGATATTGAAAACGATGTCATTATTGAAATCTCATGTGTAATTACAAATGGGAATCTGGAGGTGATGGATGAGAAGGGATGGAATGCTGTGATTCATCAGGATCAAGAGACGATGGATAAAATGGTTTGTACCTCTTTTATTTCTCGGAACGCGAATTTGCAAGCTTGCATTTATCTTCTTCCTTGACCATATCTTCATTCCCATGCATTGCAGGTCTCACATCCATACTTACAATCCCCCAACCTACAGGACGAATGGTGTACCACAACCCACGCCTCTACCGGTCTAACCTCCGAAGTTCTCTCCTCGACCACCAGTCCCACCGAAGCTGCCGAGTCTCTCCTCACATACATCCAATCCTGGGTTCCCGAGCCCCGTCGCGCATTACTCGCTGGAAATAGTGTTCATGCCGATAAAGCATTCTTGAGCAAAGGACCTTACAAACAAATCATTGAGCATCTGCATTATCGAATCTTGGACGTGAGCAGTATTAAAGAAGCAGCCAAGCGTTGGTGCGATTTGAGAGTCTTGGTTGATCAACCGAAGAAACAGGGAAAACATCGAGGGAGAGAAGATATTTTGGAGAGTATTGAGGAGGCGAGATATTGGAAGGAGAGAGTCTTTCAACAAGTACCTGTTTCAAAGTGAGGGTTTGGTAGGATTAGGATTAGTTTTCACATGGTGAATTTCTGGTTTTATGTTAGGCATGAAAAGATTCTTGCGTGGCATTGATGAGTGGAATGATCATGTTAAAAAATACTTGGTTGTGAGTATGTATTTTTGTGCAGAATGATACCCGACGAAGAGTGATACCCGACGAAGAGAATAAAGGGTTACATTGCTACGTTGAAAGAAGGACGAGGAAAAGTGTTGAAGCTGGTTACTTGATCGTTACCTAGTAGACAATGCTTCCAGCTTTTTCTTCAGAGCTCCTTCTTATCGTATGATGGCGTCACGCTAGGAATTATCCATGCGGTGTGGAAAGGAACTGATGGTATACCATCTGCAATGACAACCTTGTGCAGAAAAGCACCCGATGATGTACGATGGGGACGGTGGCATACATATATCAGGATTTACTCTTGAAGCTGGAGAGACGTCGGGAATATGTAACAGTCCGTCCCAACCTTATATCATCTAAACTAGAACAAGATTAATAATAAGTTCGGAACGATCCCGACTATAATAATTACTACCTAGGTAAGCTCAAGGGGCCGTCCGATAGTTTAGGATATGAGGCTGAAAGCTATTTCGCATTTGGATGAGAATACTACCTAGGTATCTAGGTCATTCTTATTAGTCTTATAATAATTGTCGCTTTTGCGATGGAGCGGAAGAGGTATCTTACGATTTGCTGGCATTACATAATATCTGATAAATCATTTCATTAACTATCATTTCCATGTAGGATTCTCAGTAAAGTCATCATTAATCAGATAGTTAAGATAAGATCGAATAGTTATGTAACTATTATGTAATCCATCCATCCATCATCTGTGATCTTCACCCCTCCCCTCATCCCATCACAAAAGAGTGGGGTCATCAAAACCCATTCATTCATATGCATAACCTTGTCTCCTTCCTTGTGCAAGTAATAATAAATAAGTTCCTCTCAACGAATGCCCCACCAAAGAACCTTCTCCACCTAAGAAGAGCTAATATCAACACCGCTGGTTAAGCTTGTCTTGTTGGCATCAAAGTCTCCTGTGCCCCCTTTTTCATTCTCATTCTCATTCTCATTCTCATACTTTACCTTTACTTTTTGTTCATTGACTTCATACTTCACTTGAAAGAAAATCAAATCGGTCGGAAATCATGAGTGTTAAGACTGTTTCTTTGAAACCTTTTACCGATCAGAAACCGGGAACGTAAGTACTTGTTTTTGGGAGCTGGAACCAAACCCCACCTCTGCTCCCTCTTCCTGATCGAATGTTCGATTTGTATCTGTTTGTCGATATGGAAGGGAATATTGGGGACTACCGCATGCTTGTCCAAAAATCGAATATCGAACATCAAAGTCCACGTCGTTACAGTCCACTTTGCTAATTTCCTCATTGCACAGTTCTGGTCTCCGTAAAAAGGTCGTTGTTTTCCAACAAGAGCACTACAGCGAATCGTTCGTTACCTCTATCCTCCTCTCCATCCCTGAAGGTGTCAAGGACAGTTTCCTCGTTATTGGTGGCGATGGACGATACTGGAACCCAGAGGTTGTGCAATTGATTGCAAAGATCTGTGCCGCATACGGTGTTAAGAAGTTGTTGATTGGTCAAAATGGTATCTTGAGTACTCCTGCTGCGTCGCATATTATCAGAAAGAGAAAGGCGACTGGTGGTATCTTGTTGACTGCTAGTCATAATGCTGGAGGTATGTTGTGGTGTTTTATTCATTCGGGGGGTTTAGACGATGAGGTCGAATGGATTCGAGGGATGATGTAATGGGAGATGAGAGATCATGGCTGATACTTCGATTGATGAATAGGTCCAAAGAACGATTTCGGTATCAAATACAACCTTGCAAATGGTGGACCAGCTCCAGAATCAGTTACAAACAAGATTTTCGAAGCTTCGAAGAATCTGACCGAGTACAAGATTGCCGATATCCCAGAAGTCGACATTGCTACAATTGGTACCAAAACATATGGTTCATTGGAAGTTGAGATTATCGACTCATGTGCCGACTATGTTGAGATGTTGAAGGATATCTTTGATTTCCCTCTCATCAAGAAATTCTTCGAATCACACACCGATTTCAAGGTTCTATTCGATGCCCTCTCTGGTGTCACTGGTCCTTACGGAAAGGCTATCTTTGAGACTGAATTGGGTCTTCCAAGCTCTAGCACACAAAACTGTATTCCTTCACCAGACTTCAATGGAGGTCACCCAGATCCTAATTTGACCTACGCTCACTCACTTGTTGAGGCTGTTGATAAGGGAAAGATTCACTTCGGTGCTGCCAGTGATGGAGATGGAGATCGTAACATGATTTACGGAGCTAATGCATTTGTCTCCCCTGGTGACAGTCTTGCAATTATTGCACATTATGCACAAACTATCCCATACTTCAAGAAACAAGGTGTCTACGGTCTTGCCCGCAGTATGCCAACATCTGGAGCTGTTGATCTTGTTGCCAAAGCACAAGGTCTTAACTGCTATGAGGTTCCTACCGGATGGAAATTCTTCTGTGCTTTGTTCGATGCTGATAAACTTTCCATCTGTGGTGAGGAATCTTTCGGTACTGGATCAAACCATATCCGTGAGAAGGATGGTCTTTGGGCTGTCGTTGCTTGGTTGAACATTATCGCCGCGATTGGTGAGAAGGATCCAAGCGTTACTCCAAGTATTGCCAAGATTCAACATGATTTCTGGACTATCTATGGACGTACTTTCTTCACTAGATACGATTATGAGGATGTTAGCAGTGAGGGTGCTGCAAAGGTTGTTAAGGATTTGAATGCCAAGATTGAAAATTCTTCATTCATTGGTAGTAAGATTGGTGGTAAGTTTTCTCGTAATTCTTGATGTGTTATGACATAATAGCTCACATATACCTCACAGACCGTACAGTCTCCGATGCAGGAGACTTCTCCTACACTGATCTCGATGGCAGCGTTTCCCCTAACCAAGGTCTTTACGTTAAATTCTCTGATGGATCTCGTATCGTTGTTCGTCTCAGTGGTACTGGTTCTTCGGGTGCTACTATCAGATTGTATATTGAGAAACATACAGATGATAAGAGTACCTATGGTCA